GTGAGCTCGAGGCCGGGCTGGTCGTATCACAGCCGACCCCTCTCACCCCGCACATGGACTATTCCAACCACTCCCCTCAGGCAGGAGGCTGCGGTCCATCAGGACTAGAACCTCCCGCCACAAGAACAGTTTCTTCCCCTCTGCTGTTGGACTCTTGAACACTTCTTAACCTGTCCCCCCGCCCTTTATAAAGTCACTTTACTGCCCATCATACGTCACTTTACTTCACTGTACTGCTGTCACCTTACATTGTGTGCACCATGTGCATATTGTAAATAGTAACTGTAACTCTATTTTAAATTTAAATGTATTCTTTAGAAGTGTTTTTTATTCTTATTTGTATTATCTCTTTCTGACTGTTGCACTGAGCCAAAGCAATTTCCAAGTCTGTGACCTCCTGTTACTTACGTGGCAATAAAAATGATTCTGATTCTGATAAAAGAAAACCCTATAAGTATGAATAAATGTACGTATGTATGGCAATCATTAATGGATTTTACAGCATGTACACATTATACATGATAATGTATATGTATATATATGCTTAAAATAAAATTATAATAAAAAAAGTGTACATAATTGATCTGAGCTGATGTGATAGAAGACAAAAATATATGCATGTTAAAGATGATTTAGAGAACAATTGTTCATTTTTTTGTGGCTTGAAAGTCAAGTACCCCAGCTTTAAGTTAAAAAATAATATGTAGTAATATATAGTCGACATCGCTATGAAATACAATAGATTGAAACCATAAAAAACAAAATATGCAATATCGTTCTATCTATTTGGGTGAAAACGAATATTTATTTTTCCACTAGTCATAACTACGGCAGCGTACTAAATTTGCAACATAAAAAAAACCCAAATAAATTAAATGCTGGTAATTTTTCTCATACATTTATTCTAGATTTGTTTTTATTTTGTGTGTGATTATACGTTTTAAAATACATAAAATGTTGGTAGTACACATTAGGTACAATGTTTTTAAATATTTGAAAAATGGCAGAGAAATTGACTGAAAAACATTACAAAAAACCAACAATAATGAAAAATCCCATGTGACTAACGCCTGTGGAAGAGACGGGCTGTTTTTGCATAAATCAATGTATGTAATTAAAAAGCACTTTCTCTCCAGCCGCACATTCATCCTGATTTACACGAGTTTACATACGCCCTCTGTCACTGCCTCCAGTCACCAGTCTGCCCCAAACACATCCAAAGAAACCAGACCAGAGAGCCAATGACAGCCCTGCGATGCTTAGTCCCACCCACATACACAATATTATCCATACCAATACTGTACTACAAATACTTTACTACCAATACTGTACATTTACTGCCTCATGACACTCTTGGTAACAGTGAGATACAGAAATGATGGTTGTAGCAGCAGCAGCAGCAGCAGCAGTAGTAGAAGTGGTAGAAGAAGTAGTAAAAGTAGCAGCAGTAGTAGCAGCAGCAGTAGTAGTAGTGGTAGAATAAGTAGTAAAAGTAGCAGCAGTAGTAGCAGCAGCAGCAGTAGTAGTGGTAGCAGAAGTGGTAGAAGAAGTAGTAAAAGTAGCAGCAGTAGCAGCAGTAGTAGTGGTAGCAGAAGTAGTAAAAGCAGCAGCAGTAGTAGTAGTAGTGGTAGCAGTATAGTAGCAGCAGCAGCAGGGGTTGTACTAGAAGTAGCAGTAGTGTCAGTAGAAGCAGCAGTAGTTGTGGTAGTAGTAACAGCAGCAGTAGTAATAGTAACAGCAGTAGTAGTAGAAGTAGTAGAGGAAGTAGTAGTGGTGGTAGCAGTAGTAGTAGAAGTAGCAGCAGCAGGGGTTGAAATAGTAGTAGTAGAAGTAGCAGCAGATGTATCAGCACCAGTAGTCGTAGTAGTAGTTGTGGTAGCAGTAGTAGCAGAAGTAGCAGCAGCAGCAGGGGTTGTACTAGTAGTAGCAGTAGTCGCAGTAGAAGCAGCAGCAGTTGTGGTAGTACTAACAGCAGCAGAAGTAATAGTAACAGCAGCACCAGTAGTAGAAGTAGTAGAAGTAGTAGAAGTAGTAGTGGTAGTGCTTATATGGGTAAAAGCCACACAATCACTTACAGCTCTATATCAATGGTATGTTTTTGTGTCCTTGAGCAAAACAACAGCTGAGACCATCACCCAGTACCACGCCCTTTCTGTAAACGTATAGTGGCTGATATGGTTTTGTTATTACCCCTGCTGGAGGTAAAGTAATCACCAGCGTTTGTCTGTTTGTCTGCGAGCAACATAACTCATAATGTCATAATGTTAACTCAACATGCACAAATGCCCAGGAATTCAACTTTGGAGGGTTTTTTTCTCGCACAAATGGAACCTGTAGGAGGTGGTCTGTGCTCTACGAGTGCTTCTATGTCAGATACTGTAGATTTCGCAGATAGATGAATGGATTGTGTACCAATGTTCAGATACAATACATTTGCAGACCAGGCCAGCTCCAAATGACGCAAAACCGCAGGTGGGATTTCGCCCCAAGTCTCACATACTATAATTTTTTTCTCGACATTCTCGCAAAACACGTGGTCCAATCTTTCAGATATAATCCCACGCCGCACAGTTATCATTTTCTTGACTTTCTACGGCTTTAATTTGATCTGCTGTTTTGGTTCTGTCATCAAAAACACCGATGGCGGATCAACAACTTATATATTTACACCACGATTACATTATTCCAACGCACCTCTGAGACTGAGACCTGAGAATTACTACACACACGCACACAGACACACACGTACATACACGAACATGCAGACAACACACACGCACAAACACGTACAAACACACACATACACACACGTACAAACACGAACATGCATACAACACACATGCACACAAACACACAGGTACAAACACGAACATGCATACAACACACATGCACACAAACATGCATACACACACACGCACGCACCAAACCAGAGAATTACCACATACACACATGCATGGACATTGACTCACGCACGTACACACACAGACACACACGTAAATACACGGACATGCATACAACACACACACACACACACACACACACACACCGCAGAGAATACAACACACACACACACGCACACAGATATACACACGTAAATACACGAACATGCATACAACACACACACACACACCAGACCAGAGAATTACCACACACACACACACAGAGAGACACACAAATACACACGCACCATTCTGCTGACTACCCACAATCCCCGGGCCCTGAGTAAATCTAATATAAAGCCCTTATTGATTTGCTTGTCCTTAATCACTCGGATTCGCCCCCTGTTTTCACGGCCCCTCCTTCTTTCCTGGTCTCGTCCCTGAGGGTGCGGCGGCTACGGTGAATGTCATTTTTTATTTAGTTTTATTTTTTTATTTAGACCTCACATCCATATTATTGTTGTTGACGTTTACACACATGGATTGGTTTTTTGGGCAAAAGGGGAGTGGGAAAATGAGCGAACAATTTTGGAAAAAAATAATAATAAATGAACTGGAAACAAAATGAACCCATTTTAAAGTGATTGTTTGGAGTTTGTTGGAAAAGAGAGAGAGAGGTACAGGATTTGAAAAAAACCACCCAAGCTCCTCCCCCTTCCTTTCTGATTGGTCTACGCCTACGTTTCTGTAACACATTTAAATGTTAATCAGAGAACACATTATACATATTATAATAATTATTATTAATACACACGCACGAAGGTTTTCAGAATTATTTGTTAACGTTTTCATGACAAAAGTAATGTTTTAATGCACGAAAAAAACGATCACGGTAAACCCGGAAGTAGCTATTAATGCTGATTGAACATTATAGGACACATCTGCAGAGGATCTGATTATGGATATATGTTCAGTATATAAATGATTATGGATATAGGTTCAGTATATAAATGATTATGGATATAGGTTCAGTATATAAATGATTATGGATATAGGTTCAGTATATAAATGATTATGGATATAGGTTCAGTATATAAATGATTATGGATATAGGTTCAGAGCTTTTATCCATAATCATTTATACTTAACCTATATCCAATAGAGGCTTAATTTAGAGAATCCGCGAAAACAAACAACTGAGCATGCGCAGATACGAGCATCAGCGCCGATGATTGACAGCCCTGGGCATCACTTGATTGGTTAACGTGGACGACATCGTGGCTATCTAGCCATAGCTAAGAGAAGGGAACGCAGGACTTACCCGTAATATTAGAATTCATAAAATGACTTATTTCATATGAACATTTAAGGCCAGGAGGTTAATTTAATACAATTCTTAAAATTTGTAATTCATTTAGAGTTCCAGACTATCACTTTAAGGCAAGGGAAGGTTTATATGTATAGCACAATTCATACACAAAGCAACTCAAAGTGCTGAACTATAAAGACAATAAAGACACCTGTCAATTACTACCTCCAGAAATCTTGTTAAAGTAAATGTTTTGGACAAATCAAGCCTCTCCATGGCCTCACATTAAAGTACGTCTGTGACATCACTCTGAGGAGCACAGGGACCGGCCTCCCGCTGGTTCCCCCAGAACCAAACACGGAGATTTATGGGTAGTTCTGTAAACGTTTCAGATTCAGAAGCCTGTCTCACTTCTTCCTGAAAAAGTGAGACAGGCTTCTACTCTGCCATTGTTCAAATCCAGGCTAAAAACAGTTTTGTCTATCTATGCAAACGACTGAAGGATTCACTGTTTTTAATGATATAATTTATTGTTTTGTCAAGCACTTTGAATTTGTGTCTGAACTATGCTCTGCAAATAAACTCGCCTTTCATTTGTGGGAAAATACCCTTAAGTAATTCCCATAATTCCCCTTTGGGCATTGGAATAAGTGAACTCCATGTAGCCCTATACAGATAATGTGTCTCAAATCACATTCTGAATGCAGCCGATTAATTTGTCCGGTTTGCATATCTTGTCTTTAGCCGTTCATTAAAAGCTTTCATCTAATTAGGCATTAGCACACTGCCTATGTCACTGATATGAGCTGGCGATGGCCGTGTGGGTGGATTGGTGTTGGGGGGGGTCCAAGGGGGGCTTCACAATAAAGGCAAGGGGCCCCACTGCTCACTTGTTCGCCGCATCATTGTGCCTCCCAACAATAGACCAGGCGAATTCCAAGAGGAGACGACGCCGCAGTAAGTCGGCCCCTGATTGGTCGGCTGGTCCCGGTCATAGGCTAGCGTAGTGCACGGCTAGCGTTCGGGGATTAAGGCTAATTAGCAGGAAGAATGAAAACAAACAAACGCTGGTGGAACGAGGGTCACGGCGGCAGTCCCAGAGATGGAGTAATTAGTATTGTTTACTCCCTCATGTGAGGATGGGGGTATGAAGCCATGAGAATATGAGCCATGCTTTTCACTGGTTTTATGCTATACACGCCATAGTGGTTTACTGGTCCCTCACTAGAATGTAGGATTTGAAAGCTGCAGCAGCGCTCGGACCTTGTATTTGTCATTACTGTAACTACCCGGCAATGGATGAAGCGGAAGAAACTGAATGGATTTCACAGTGGCAATTGTCTCCTGCACTTTTCCATTTGTTTTACTTCTGTACTTTTAACCTGTTTTTTATTTATGTACTTGTCTGGTGCACACTAGAGACTTTATATATAAGTATTCCAATGTGATTTTACTGAAAATGGCATATTAATGAATCTGTACGAATCCACACTTTAGTGCAAAAAACTTGTCTCGCTCCGCTCCGATTGGTCAGAAAGCTCACATGTTGCGCTGGTCCTGCAGAAGTCGAACCACTGCGCACCTCCCGCACAAGACCAGGTGAACCAGAGCTGGCCAATGAGCTCAGGCCATTGATTTGAACGGCCAGACAGCTTGGAGACCTGGGTCTTGGCTTAGAGCTACAATCAACAGGTTTGATATCTCTGCACCGAAAAGTGTATAAAATATGTGTTAATGAATTCCTCTTCCAGACGAGGCCTCTCTGTGTGGAGTTTGCATGTTCTCCCCATGTCTGTGTAGGTTTCCTCAGGGTGCCCCGGTTTCCCCTATAAAAAATCCCAGTCAGTAGGCTTTGGGATCTAAACAACTACTCAATAATCCAAAGAATCATTAGTTACAGTCCTAGTGTGACCACGCAAACAGACCCGAAATATGTCACAGGGGTTCCCAAACTTCCACACTAGGACCCCTGAAAAGGCATGAAACAGACTTGTAACCCCCAATAATATACGGACTTTAATATAGTCATGATTTTAACCTACTAATATAATTTGAATGGTGTTGATTTGAGAAATGCAGTGTGATATTTGATCACTTGGTTGTTGAAATTGTAATGAATAAAAAACAGCCCGGAATGGAGATGGAATTGAAGCCAAACAACACGCCAACCTTTCCCTCTGTATTCCTCGGTCAAGACAGAATTTTTTAGCAAAAAAAAAAGACTTTTCAGTATGAAAACTTTGACGCATTGAAAAGAAACAATATTTGACTGAATCCAACCGAGTCCTACTGTACATGGTCCAGTCCCTTGCCTGCAGTCCCAGCCTCCCCCTCTAGGAGCATGCTTGTCCTCTCTCCACACAGACTCTACAGAGAGGTCCGAGGTCACAGGAGGGGGGTCAGGGGTGGGAGATGTGCTCCGCCACCTGTGGGACGTCCCGGGGCAGAGGGGGTCACGCTTCAGCTCCTGCCCGCTCACCCCTGCCCTTCAGCAGGAAACAGCCTGCCTTTCCCCCGTAAAGCTCAGACAGAAGTGTTTGCTGGCAAGGATTCAACGAGGAAAGAATTTGGATGCAGCCTTTGTGTGCATTAAAAGTATTGTTCAATCTCAGTGTGGTTCCAAGGTTTAGATTCTCTCGGTTTCTCTCATCGTCCAACACAAACTATTTTCATTTAATTCTTCACATTAAAGTTGGGGTATCTAACTTTCAAACAAAAATATGGAGTCCATGTCACTAGTTCCTTGCTCTTATAACAGGTTCTATTTGGTTTTTCACATGCATGTTTTTTACAGCTCTTTAGACAACAGCTTTTTCAGACAAAAAAGAGAAAGTGAAAAAGAGAGGACCACCCTCACTCAGCCAATTATCTCCCTGCCCAAAAAGTTGTACAGAGTTGTTTTGTGTGTTTAAAGTGTATAAAGTGTGCTTATAGCTGGTTATTTTTACAATGTAGCCAGGGAGGTATTCAGTGGGTAGACCTTTGGTGCAGTTTTGGTTCAATCCAAACATAATTGATCTCTTGTTGTTCAAAAATATTCAAATGAATCATTTGGTCAAAATAGAAATGTGTCCTAAACTTTAACTATAGCTCATAATGGTGTCACATCTTTCCATCATTTTGAGCAACACTGAGTAATCCACTGGGGGCCCATTATTCTTACGACTATAGCAAAAACTGGACACAAAGAAGTCATCAGATGTGGAGGTCTTTTCTGGGCTGACTGGCAGTGGGCGTGGCTTCTCTCCGGGTATCTTTAACAGCTCTGCTTCAGGTTCGGCGGAGGTTTGGTGGAGCGGACAGGAGCAGAACAAAAGACCCGACTCAGCACTTTTGTGGCCACTCTCTCTACCTTTTCTTTCCCCGATCACAAACTTTCCCCTTTGCACAAAACCACAGCTTAACTATTAGCTCTAGTGCAGGACTAATCAGGTGACGACAGAACCATTGGAAAATTATTTATTATCATGTATCTTATTAATTTCACTAGAGAATTTTCATAAATAGGCAATAAATATAATTCATTGAATAATCATTTTAATTAATTCATCAATGTAATCATGTTATATACTTAATATATTAATATTGAATTTAATTCAGTTCAATGTATTGTTAAATCCTAAACCCCAGCAGTCCTCAATAACAGATCAGAGAATCCAACAGTTCAAAACAAGGAATAAAATAATAAGTAATGTTTATTTATATAGCGCATTTTACAGACCAAGGTCACCCAAAGCCATTTACAATGTTCAGAGTTCAGATATTGTTCCAATCATTCCACACACGGTGATGATAGAAGCGAGTCACCGAACACACTGGACCATCAGCTCCCAATCAACACCATCCATTCACTCTCTCATCTACATTCATACCTATTGTGCAGGGGAAACCGGAGCACCTGGAGGAAACCGGAGCAGACACGGGGAGAACATGCAAACTCCACTCAGAAAGGCCCTGTTCCGACCGTGATTCAAACCCAGAACCTTCTTGCTGAGAAGCGAGAGTGCTATCCACTCAGCCACCCAATAACAATCCCAAAGGAGCCATTGGTCCATAGGTAGCGGAATAATAAATGTCCATAAATGTCCTTAAATGTCCCAGATCATCTCCGTCCTTAAACCCTCCTGTATCGGCAAGGAACAACTAAAAAGAAAAAATCTGTGAGAAAAAAGTGAGAAACCCTTGAGAGTTCCACAGGGAGAGAAGGGTCCTCTCCCACAGACAGTGCTATAGGACTCGGGATCAGGCTGGCAACACGCTTCCAACTTTTTTACCAACATTTATTAAACTGTTAAAGCAAAACACACCTTAAAAAAACACAGACACCTTATTGCATCATTCCTGTTTTTGAAATATCTTTCAACGACATATTTATGATGTTTTCGAAATGTTTTTCTGCAACAGCATTGTGTGGCAATGGTTGTACACCCAATGCACAAAGTCCAAGACGGCTTATTTTCACTTGTTCGTCTCCCATCCTCGCATTAACCTCTTAAGCCCAGAGGCCTTTTTTCCCGAAAAAGCTATAATCTACATTTACTAAGGTTTCATATAGTATTTAGCCAGATATGTGGCCAAACTTGGTACCAAATTACCTGGTGGACCTTGGGGATTGCTGTGGAAGTGAAATAAAGATGATAAATTGTATTGGTTGACAATAAAATGAGGTTGAAACAGACAATTCTAACTTCCGCCTAAAAAAAAAACACATATTTTCCCTCAAAAAAGCTTTTTCCCTGTCTGTGGTGTAGCAAATAAGAACAAAAATTGACAGTTCCCGATATTTTGGACCAGTCCAGCAAAAAATGTGCCAAATAAACAAACCACTGCAGAGTTGTACATGGAATTGGAAAAAAAGTCCAGGCGGAATCCAACTGTGCCAAAATTGTGCCAAATGGCACAAAACATGTCTGTAGAGTCATCGAGATAAACTTTGGCACCCGGTTCCCTAGCAAGAAGCTCTACAACCTCCTTGCGTGTATAACGCTGTTTTGCCATCTTTTACTTTCGTCAAAATTCCGAGTACTGCCGTGCGTAAAGGGTTTGCGCACAGCCTCCTTCTGCCCCAACTATACGCATGTACACGCCTCCGCGGTACTTTGGCCAATCAGGGCATGTCATACCATTTTGGAAAGAAGACACCTTCGGCTATCAAAAACCATTGAAAACGTATTGATGGACAGCACCTGTGGCCAATCACAGGAAGAGATACACAGAGGTACGTGACATGACGCACGGGTGCAGCCTATCACCAAGTGCCTCTTACAGAAGGAGGAAGTAACAGATATCTGCCAGATCGCTAGAAAGCCTCGCTATGAGGTTGAATACAAGAAAAAACGGACTTTTATTCCTATGGAAATGACTTGTGATGAAAAAACAGCAAAAGTAAGTCGACTTTTACTTCAACGCTGATGTTTTACTGCTTTGTTTTCTGGCATTCGTCTGCGGCTTGGTCAGCGAGTTTTAGAGGTAGCGTTACCAGCCTTATAGCATTGTGTTCAGCTCGGGGAGGGCTTTCTAATGGTGTGCTGACAGCAGGGCTACTTATTGTTTTGAGGGCGCTTGTGACGCCAAAGCAAACATTTGATTCGACATGTGCTTTATGACGATTTGTCAGATTGTGGTTTGTTGTTTGAACCTGGGTCTGTTGAACTGAAATTGAAGTGGATAATGTTGTAGCTGAGAGTTGTCCGAACACGAGGATGTGAAACATGTGATTGTCAGTTGTTGTATCTGTCAGCTACGGTCCGGACAAGCTGCAGCAAGGGGGGGCGGACCCCAAATGGGGGCAAACTTTGCATATCTTCCGAGAGTCTCAAGGTGATATGACCGGATATGAGATTGGCAGTTCACATCAACCATGGCTTTCTCATATGACAATATTCTTTTAGGAGTGAGGCCAAAGTGCACCCCTCCCTGCCTTTCCCTTAAACTCCCCCTGTATTAAATCACGCCACATTCACCGATGCCGCTTACGTCCACACCTCATCCATATTTGATTTCTCAGTTTTCAATACTCCAGCACTTTTTAACCCATCTATTTATCAGCTGACCCCGTGTGCTTCTGACTATATCCAATACCGAGCAATTACTATTCTCCCATTCACACAGAGGTTGTCAGTGAAAGTACAAATTGACAGCAATGACTTTGTTTTTACCCCAAAAATGTGTCTCTAAAGTTGGTTGTCAAGAAAAGGGGCGCAGTCTGGCCCCTGTTTCAGAAGCACATTTGAGCAGACTGTGCGTGTTTAAATCCACACGGGTTAAGTGGGTAAAAAACACTTGAGTGTGAAGTTGAGGGGTTGCACTTGCCGCAAACACAAAACGTTATTTACGATGATGCAACGGATTAGAAGCGAGAGGCGCTCAGAGATGGAAGCTTGTCTGGACAGTGTTTATGAGTCACTAGTCGCAGATTGGTAACTGGAGTAAAATTGCAATGTTTTTAAGAGGACGTATCTGTGTTTTTGCCGAAGCTGTCAAGTATGCATGGAATGACCTGCCTTATTACTTAAAATTTGCGTGTTTAAATTGATTGGCAACAGGAACATTTCTGATGTCATATCCATGGAGAGGCTTCATGACAACAACACAAAAAACCTTCTTTGATGCTCAGTTGGTGACAGAATACATATGATTTTTTTCTCTCTTCGGCTCCTGTTTTTCCACGATGCACAAATATCATGCATGTACTATGATGACATGGACAAATACATAAATCTGTAATTGAGTAAATGGTTCGTTCCAAGCAACATGATAAGTTCAATAAGTAGCAATAAGGACACGCATATTTAGACAAACTTAAAAGTAGCAGTATGTAAACATCTGGCCAAAAGTGGTACTGCATCCTTTCTCATTCTCCCTGACTCAGGTTGCCAGATTTTAGCAGCATGAATCTGAAAATAAGACTAAGACTAATAAAGGGGTAGAAAATTAATGAATGTTACTACAGTGTCGAGAAATGAAGACAAGGCAGCAGCTTACCAGTAACTGCTTTAATTTTGAGTCCTTCCAGATCGAACAAAATAGGGTTTTTAAATATTTTTTATCAATTTGCATCGGAACAGAGATGTCACCCCTTGAGATATCAATGACGCATGTTTAAGATGTAGTAGTATGTGAGTCAGAAAAAATACATTCAGTTCTTCAGATAATTATGATAATTATTGTCTCTTTTCCACTACTTCCTGATTGCATTTAAATCCATGCTACACAGACGAGGCCCTTGCCATTGGCTCAACTGATCCTATGGTCAAATGCATTCTTAGGGCCCAACAAAACTTGAATGAAAAAATCTGATATTTAGGGAGAATTACCATATGGGGTAGCAATATACAATCTTTACTTTTTGTTTTGAGAGAGAGATTGCTTCACAGGCAATGCATTCGAGGATGTTGCAAATTTGACACATTGGCCCACTCTGGTAAGTAAAGCTGACCCGGGGAAAAATATGTGTATACTAATTGGCATGTACTGTATCTGTATATATTAATATTATAATTGATGCCTAGAAAATCCAGAAGTTGTAAAAAAAAAAATCCCAACAATTAATCTGGAGTAGCTACTGTAGGTAATAAGAAAATAAGTTTTTGCGAATCTGCAACGCCTGCCTGAAGAGGGTTAAGAATGAAAAAAATAATTTAAGGTGATATTCGCAACTTAAATAACTTGTATTCTTGGTCATAGCTCAATTAGAAAGCAACTATTCCGGACAGCCACTTCATCAAACGTAAAACTAGCATTCATAGAAAAAGTTTATGACATCAAATTTGTAGTTATTGTAAGTTTTATGGCCCACAGACGACTCCAGCACCAGTTAAACCGAGTCCTAATGCCTAACCGGTCTTCCTGTCTCATTTCCTATCCATTACACCCTACACTGCTTTTTACCACCTCCACAAACACACTCTCTCTCTCGTCTAATCCAATTTATAATTTTGAAAGACTCCTATGCCGTACATTTAAAATTCAAATCTCCTCAGCGCTGTGCAAATTGTTGAATTATAGTTTGTGCTTTATTCTGATTAATTTGATCACATTTGTCTTGTCACGGCCATTCATCTCCACTCAAACAGAAGATAAATGCTTTTAAATAGATTGTGGATTTAGAGCGGGGTCCAACGCTGATTTATGGGAAATGTATTCTACTGTAAAATTAGCATTAGGTGGTTAGCGAGCATTCTTAAACTGCATTACGATAGCAGCGGGGAGATTTTGAAAAATGAACATTGTCGACGGGAAATACTTAATGCAGAATTTAATTGACTTTGTTCACAACTTTAAGAGCTCTCGGTCCAGCAGGGATAATTTTTTATGCTGTGTTTTAAAGGATACATATTATGCAAATTGACCGTTTCTCTCTTTTAACCATGCTACAACTTTTTTTCTCATTTGTCACAGACCTGGAGTTGTTTTTAGATCCATTCACACTTTTAGGACAAACATGCAGCTTCTGTCTAAAAGCCCCTGTCTCATGCCTCTTACCGGAAATTTTGAAATGTCCAACTACCCTTCGAGAAACAACGGGATGACCACTGCTCAACTCGGAAATTGGGAACTTGGAAACTCAAAACAGATTTTGATGTAAGAAAATAATAGAAAAAATAATGACAAACTGAGTGGAATCTGTTTTATTTCACACTGATGGTTTGACTTAGGGTGACAGTGGCAGTTGGTAAAGGATTGGCCTTTGAATCGGAAGGTCTTGGGTTCGAGCCCACAATAAGACCTACATCACAACTCCCACTGATGACTGCTGTCGTTGTGTCCTTGGTCAAGACATTTAACCCCACTTTGCCCGAAGCCCCCGCTGAAAGATCTCAGCTCCTGTGGACTCACCACCTGCAGGAGGATCAGTGAGGGGCTGGTTCTCTGTGAACTGGGTGCAGCTCTGACTGCCACCCCCCCCCCCCCCCCCCCCCCCCCGACTCAGAAATGGATTAAGGGGAAGAAAATGGATGGATGGTTTGCAATATAAACATATACTAGCCCCAAATCTATCTTGAAGTTATAATTACAAAAGCTTTTTAGAAAAAGCTAACAATGGAACACATTACACAACATATGGTTTTTGTGCCTTCTCATGAACAAGTAAAGTATGTCTGTCTGTCTGTGTGTGTGTGTGTGTCTGTGTGTGTGTGTGTGTCTGTGTCTGTGTGTGTGTCTGTGTCTGTGTGTGTCTGTGTGTGTCAACATCAGCTCCTAATTTTTTTCCCCAAAGAACCAGTTTCTATTATTAAGGCATTTGTTTTATATTATGATCCCAAAATGTAGTGACTCAAGAATTCAAGTCAACTAAACTACTCTTTTCTATCTACTGACAAAAAAGTGAACAAGACATTTTAATCCTACCAACCAAAAGCAAACATATACTATACATTTAATATTTCGGCCATATCCCATCGTAAAATATCTCACTTCGCTTCATTCCCTCGGTCGCTTTTTTATCCCTGCTGTTGCCGACCTTAGCCCCTTTCTGTCATCTTTAAGCAGAACACAAGTACGCGACTTCATATCGAGATCTCACCGAAATTTATGGACATCCGTAGATTGAGAAAAAATGACATCTGGAACCTTTCTCTGGCAGCTAACCATAAAATTGCTCCATAAATTCTGCCTGTCCAAAGCAACAACAGCAGCAGCAGCAAGGCCATGGCCCGTGTTTGGACTCGCAACAAAGGCCTGGGAGAGAGCAGGCTTTCTATGTACACTATATTATTGAAGAAATAAAAGGTCTCTCCAGAGCTGGAAGTGACCTAGAAATTCAGGAAAAACATACATTTGGATGTTGACTGTTCGACTGCGTAGGCTGAACTTGTATTAAAGATTGCATTGTCAAACATTGAGAGATCTTGGTGAAGTTAATGCAATACGATCGGTTGGCGTGAGGTTACTTTCTGGAATGAATTTTAAACACAAAATTCCCATAAAAAGTGTTGACAAGTCTAAAAGTATTAGTGAGTATAATGTAGTTCAGCTTTAGTAGCCTCTGTTTTGCAAATTTTACAGTGTACGTCTTATGCGCTGTGTGAATACTCCAACAACATAATATGATTGCTAGTTTAATATGCAATTATACAACTTAAAATAAAAAACAGTAACAATAAAAATACATAGAGCCATTGGTCCATAAGTGACAGGTGATCAATGTCCATTAGAAGTGTGTGAATGAGTGATTTTGTACTGTATTTTTTTGTGTTAATTTTTGATTATTATGTAAACTTAAAATTAACTTCCCCTGTTCTTGCCATCCTAGTATTTATGTCGAAGCAAAGTACAAATGAAGCAAAAACATGTATAGGCTTTTTTTCACAAATCACACAACATATGCACAAATTGTAATGTATTCAGTAACCGTGGTGATATGAATATAAATACATGAAAAAAAGACAGTTACCTTTAGTTCAAGTCAGAAGAAAACTTTTGTGGCTTATTTGCGGAAAGAGGTTTTACAGCCTTTAAACATACAGCGGCTGCTACTGATTTTGCTTATTTAGATTGTAAGCCCTGTGATAAATGAGGGACCACTGTACGTGAATTAAATATTTGATATAGATAGAGGGTGTGACTGGCGGCACGGTGGCTGAGTGGATAGCCCTCTCGCTTCTCAGCAAGAAGGTCCTGGGTTTGAACCCCGGTCGGAACAGGGCCTTTCTGAGTGGAGTTTGCATGTTCTCCCCGTGTCTGCGTAGGTTTCCTCCGGTTGCTCCGGTTTCCCCTACCACCATTGGGGCTGATGCTCCAGTGTGTTCGGCGACTCGCTTCTGTCATCACCGTGAGTGGAATGATTGGAACAATATCTGAACTCTGAACATTGTAAAGCGCTTTGGGTGACCTTTGTCTGTAAAATGCGCTATATAAATAAACATTACTTACTTACTCACTGAATTTCTTCTAAAGTGGATTTTTATAAAGCATCTTTTTATACTTCATGCAATTGCTTACAAAACCAATGCAACTTCAATTCAATACAATTCAATTCATTCTTGCATAGCCCTAAATCACAACAGTAGTCATTTCAGAGGACTTAACAGGACCATTGGAATCGCCAACACAGATTAGAGAATCAACAGTTCAAACACAAAAGGGTCCTGGAGCATCACCACAGTCCTTCTTGTTGGATACTAACTGTCTAACACACCCTTCTGTGGGAGCAAGGGAGAACTCTAAACCCAGTGGGATAAAAGTGAGAAGGACCAGGACCTAAGCTACTGATCGAGACCACACAGCGGCCGCAGAACAAGGACAGGTCCGGTGCAGGATTGGAGCAACTCTCAGGTGGGGAGGGGGTGCAGTCTACACCGGGCTGGTCGGGTCCTGGATTTGAGTGAAGTTCAACCAATCAGGAGGCTCCACAGGTGAGCATGGGCGCTTCTAACTAGTGCTAGACTTCGAAAAAGTTTCACTCTCTCTTCACAGTTTAAAAAGACGACATTAGTGATGAGAAAAAACTTGAATAACATTATTTCGGGCTAATAACGACAGATTAAAACTTTAATTTGAGCAGTTGCTAATCCACAATTCATTCTTCTTTTTTCTGTCATAATTCCTTGGTTTGCATCATTCATACACTCCGCAGCTGAAATGCTGAATTGACAGACTGCGATAGACTTGTGAAGGTGACCGGTCTTCTCTCTCACAGTTTGGCGTTTCGTCTTCCTTCGTCCTAATCACATCCATTGATTCATCGGATCGTTCCAAATGATCTTAATCACTGATCAATTTCCATTAGAGCCCCTTAAATACATGTTAATGGGATCGAGCGTGTCGTCGTGAGGAGAGGGAAAACTGGGACTGATGGCACTGCAGTTTGTTAGGCGGGGCATTAAGTTACTTGGAGTTTGAGAACGAATTTTTATGTTTCTATTGTTTTATTTGTCTGTTTTTTTGGATGGGACAGTGTGTATTCATGAACATAAGTGCTAGTACATCTGTAGTCCCACAAACACAATCATTCACTCTGAAATATTGTACTTTTTTAGTGCAGACACAGGAGAGCAAGCAAACTCCACAAAGAAAGACCCATCTGAAGGTGGAATCGAAGCTGTGAGGCTGATAGTTGGTTATAGACTCAGATCAGATTTACATCCATATCAATATGACCTTGATCCATTTAGTGTCTTGCCCAAGAACATTAGGACAGCAGTCATCAGTGGGAGTCGGTGGAGAACGTGTCATAGTGGGTTCGAACCCACGACCCTCAGGCTCAAAGGCTAATGCTCTATCAACTGAGCCACAATATGACCTACAGAATAGGTCACCAGTTGTTTTCCGACTGCGGAAAATGTTTTATGTCAGCATTATTTACATGAACAAAGCATGTAAAAAGCACATTTAAAAGTGTTCAAGGTCTAACATTATACATGGTCTAACATGTATAGACCATATCTAACATGTCACCCCTCGCATTTGTTTTCTTGGGTGCATCCGATTTGATTAATAAACCTTCTTATCCTTCACTTCCCATCCATTGACTTGAGCGGCACTTACAATATCTTAAAATGTTTGTAAGTTGACCAAACCTGTTGCTGCCCTAAGCAGAGGGAGGAAGTAAAAGACAAGAAGGAAGGATGCTTTTTGGTGGAATCAGATGTAGTTGAATCCATAATTCCCTCCAATGCCTCACTTCATGCTTTTTCCAAGCTATAGTTTAGCACATAAGGACACATTTGTTGTCGACAACGCAATATATGTCAAGTCAGAGTTTGATTCTCTGATCTGTGTTGGCGATTATATTGTAATAATATTGTTGTGGCCAAACTTGCATGAAAAATCCCGACCTCTGCGGCTGTTAGTACATGTGAAGCCTGTTTAATGGCCAGAAAAGAGCTATATAAAAACTAATGCATTATTATTATTATTCCTATCTCAAATTACCGGCATTCACTTTTATGCATTCAAGGTGAGGGAAAGTGCATGTTTTCGGTGCTTTGATCTGTCCTGATTGTGGTTTCTGTCAAAAGCCTGGAACACGCCTCACGCTCGACCCTCCAGAGAAAGTTCCCATAGCCTCAGTGTGAGCGAATGTAAACTGTGAGCATTTGGGCTACACTTGGATGAGATAGTCTTCTCTCCCACTGCCTCGGCCCACGGGTTGCCAGATCCCACTGAGGTACCCCACTGAGGGCTCCCACTGGGCCGTCCCGCTGCGGAGATGCTCAGTTTGGGGTCCACACCAGCCGCGGGGGGGCCCAGGCAGGACTTCACTCTCACGCTGGGGCTGTGAGGAGCTGGACGGGAGGTTGCACGGACGGGAATTTGTTAAATGGGCTCTTTTGGAGTTGAAGACGGATGCCAAAGGTGTCGTGTGAAGCAAACTGGAGATTGTGAACAGCCCATGACACGTTTAATGTGTGGGTGTGATGCCAACCGGAAGTGCTTCTGCCACGGAAACACTTTTGCACATTGTATGTAGAGTTGTGGATCGCTCAGAGCAGCCAGCACAAGGTCCAAAATAAAGTCACATCCAAAGTAAACAAACACTAATCTGAAGAAAATGTTATGTCTTTATTTATTCTAAGCATGTTTGCATGTTTTTATTTATTATTTCAGCTTTGGATCTGTAGCTGTTTAGGGCAGCACAGTGGCACAGTGGTTATCACTTGCTTCATAGCAAGATGGTCGTTGGTTCGATTCCATGCCAGGCCTTTCTTTGTGGAGATTGCATGTACTCCCTGTGTCTGCGTATGTTGGGTTAGGTGTATGTGTAGCAGTATGGTTCCAGAGATTGACCATTTTCTCAACATGGCATCACCGTTGCTAATTTAAACGCTTAAAGACCGTTTCACTGAATCACATTATACCTTTGTGATTTCAGGATTTAACTGTATGTTGTATTTGTTAATTCAAATACAACAAAAACAGCATTATAATGTTAATTCTGTATTAGTTCACCATATGACTGTTTCTAATTCGTTTCATCGAACAAAAAACTACACAGTATAATTTTGTTTTCCTTTAATGAACACAACTTTTCAATTATTTTTTAACAGTTTTTTTAACAGTTTTTACAAGAAAACAGTTGATATCTTTACTTCTATAACATGCTTAACGCAAAAGCATAATTTAAAAAAAAGCAGGAGTGTACATCTCTTACACTCATGGTTGCTCGCTAGCAAAAATGTCCCAGCATTCCAAAAAATACAACAAGTTGATGTTAAATTACGGTAATCAAATTGTGATTTTTATGGCATTGTAACGTTTTTTTGTAATCGCATTATAATTGTGGTAATAAAATGCCACAGGATGTTTTTTAACCAATGTATACTTAAATTGGCATGTTTGAATTGTTTTTCAAAATAACATTTGTTTAATATTGAAATTTCATTGTAATTTTACAGAATTTTTTTACAGTGTAGTTAAAACCTGTCCGTCTGAGGGAGAAGATGCCCCTCTTTTTGTGGACCTCCCCAAGGTTTTTTGACATTTAGATGCATGTATGGACAGTGTCGGAGACTGTGTTGGAGAATCAAAAACTTTATTAAGTCCTCTGTGACGGCTGCTGTTGTGATTTAGGGCTGTACAAAAAATATTATAATTGTAAGTTCCATGAAGTAACAAACTTGGAATTTGCTTTGGTACAGGGTTCATCAAGTCAAAAGTATAAAATGTATAATTCTATCTATAAATATGAAAAATAGTGATTTAACAGGTCAGATTATCAGAGCAGATCTAAGATTACACCAGAATCATGACACTGTTAGAATGGGTGAATGGATGTTTTAATAATAATAGTCAGTTCCTACAAACACATAGCACTGCCATAGAGCACACCTTTAAACCCATTTCCATCTCGATCACACGCCCTTACCATATGCCACGCTCGCTCCCGTGTTTTAATTGTTTATAGAAGCATTACTTACATCAATGTCGACGTCGAAGCATGAAATATTACACGTGTCATACTCTGGGAAAACCATAAAGAATCATTCATCACGAACACAAGCGTCGGCGCGTGAGGAATTCCATGAGTTTGTTTGAACGTATAAACACGAGTGAACACAGCTCCTGCTCAAAAGCGTTGCTCAAATTTTACAGAAGACATATGATTATCCTTTAAAAGCAAGATGTTCCTGGGTTTGAATCCATGTCTGTTTACTAGGAATGGACTGAACAAGTTCCAACGTCGCCAAAGTGTTAGCCTTACTGCGGAAGAGGCTGATCAAAGCTAGCTAACAGGCTATTTGAGCGGGAATATGGAGCCAAATGTATTCAAATTCTATTGGTAGCAACAACCGAGTTCAGACGCCCCGCCGGCCCGTCTCCGCCTGCGTTACTTCAATCCAATCCACTTGATTTATATAGCACATTTCATAAACACAGTTTCCAAAGTGCTGCCCAATAGAAGACTAATTAAAACAAATCCACAGTTTTTTTTTGTTTTTTTTTTTTTGTTTTTTTTTAGTAAAATATATAGACTCATTTGACCACATTCGACATAGCACCTATGCACCCCTGCATTGCATACACATTCACATACATATACAGAAACTCCGCAAACCAAGGCAGAACTGAAACAATAAAAAACGCAACCCGAATAATTTTTTTTTTTTTTTTTACTCTCCCCCTCCCCCCCAACCCCTCCCACCTTAACACCTACTGTATTTGTAAACCGTATATATTAGATTTCGAATATAATTTTGTTTTATTTCTTTCTTTTATGTTTTCATTCTTGAAATTGTATTAAAATATAATAAAGTTAATTTAAAAAAAAAAACAAATCCACAGTAAAACAGTAAAGTCATTAAAAATAAAATATGAAAAACTGCGGGTGTATATAATGGATGTTTAAATACAAAAATAACAATAATAAAAAATAATAACAATCAATACTTCCTAGTTGCGGTAGAAGGCTCCTGGTTGGTCGGGGCTCATATTTGGATTTACAAAGCCCAGGATCACTGAGAGCACCAAACCATGGATTTTTAAAGCCGACAATGGTAAGTGTACCACAAATGGCTATAGGAATTTACTTTTCAGTGTTGGTGAAAGGGAGCGTGTTGGAGCAAAACCTTCGGCCATGAGCACTTCCCCTTTAAGTTGTTGAGTAAGGCGGTTAACAATGTCTATATATATACAGTCTTTGGCTCAACCGAGCCCTTATTTTGTGATACAGCTTGATTTTTTTGATGCTATTCTAAGTCTTTTTTTCCCATTCGTCATTACAAAACAACTCAAGATCTGTCAGATTACAGAGCATTTGTCAACAGTCCTTTAGTTTATATAATGACAAATTAAATGAGAAAGTCATATTTTTCCAACATTTCGTTCTTACATTTCTCTCAATTTCTTTTTCCGAAGATGTGCTTCCTGCCTGTACAGAGTTCCATCACTTTTTGTAATCGTCAAACATTCTCAAATAATCGTAATTTTCCCTATCCCGGTCATTAGCTAAAGCAAATTCCAACGGAGGGATTAAAATAACGCTCACATTTGCATAAGTACATGAACACGACTCCCTCTCTCCCTACTCCTGCGCATGTAACTCACTCGCCCACACCTACCTACACTTCTCCAACCTTTTCATCTTTGCTACAGCTGTGAAAATCGTGCAGCGATGTATTCAAAAGCGCATTGCAAAACCATTGGGGAAAAAAAGAGGTTTCTTGGTTTTCTACATTGGACCGACATGAATGGAAGCAAGATCGAGTATCAAAGCTCAGAGCGCAGCCAGGAGCAAGTGGAGTTTGATTCGACTCAAAACTTGGCATTCAAAACAAGAAATAGGCTCAAAGATAATATGCTGCATCGCGTCCAGGATATTACAGACGGATTTGCTTGGACGCGCATTGAGAGAAAGCCTCGGAATGACAGCGGAGAAGTTTGGAAGCTGATTCAAAGGAGGTGGAATGCTGTCTGCCGTTTAGCCGTTACAGTGTTAACCAAACACGCTCTCTTTGGCTACAGGCTTACAGTTGTTTTGTAACCCATATTTTCACTTTTATTTATTGGATGATAGTGTTCAGTGGGTTTGATGGTCTGGCAAATAACTACAGTCATTCAGGATTCAGAATTGAGTCCTTCAAAATGACAGACTTTTCCTTCTTGACTCACTACTTTTCCTTGTTGCCTTGCCACTATTTCTTTGGGAAACCGGAGAATTGAGTCCTTCATAATTATTAACTTTTCCAAGCTGACTCGCCAATAAAATGAATCCAATAACAAAATTAATTAATCAAACATCTAATTTTTGCTTTATCTTCTTCATGGAAAAGGCTTTTTTGGTCTTTAACTTTAAATTGGCGATTGGGATAAACTGAATATTAGCAGATGTTTTATTATGGGGCCCATCCATGTTACCTGTATATCGCCCTTTCCTAGTTGCCAGAGCAAAGACGCAAAATGGTGTGACTTGAGAACTGGAGGTGGTCTCGCCCTCGGTCCCTGGATGGCTCTGGATCATGAGAGCCGGTCCCTGTGAAGTCGATGGCTCTTGTGGATCTTGTGCTGCTGGAAATAGACACAGAAACAGGCAGAGATGAGCTATTGATTGAGGGGCCTCCGGGGGCCACTGCAATCGAAGACATGAGCCGCTGTGACGGCCGGGAGCTGGGGTCTGTAGTCGTGATAGATATTTAGATGGCTCTCTAGCGGTACAACGAAAACGCTTCCTGCAAGTGACTAAAACTGAGTTGAAAGTGTGATTCTTAAAATACAGTGTAAAACAGTTGATTGCATATTTAAGCCTAGCATCCAGATAAATCTAATATCAGTCTGCATCAAATCTGCTTTATAAAATGGACATAACACAGCTGATGGTACTTAACTTTCAAAGAACAAGACATTTAACCACTGTATGTGAGAAAATGCTGTGATGACCCAAATGCTCTTGTTTCACATGCAAGTATTTTCGGTATCTTTGCATCAGCTTTTCCAGACAGAAAAGTGAAAAAGAGGTGACCACCCTCACTCAGCTCTCAGCCGAAAGCTCACTGAGGTCTTTCGAACAGGTATGCAAAAGGAAACAAGTCTTTTTACTCATTCTGGGACAAACATTGAGTAATTTATGAAGAAAAATCATGTGGGAACCCTATAGCTTGTGAAATGTTAATACCTTGGATTGCGACGATGAATACATACACTGAAAATAATCAGATTCATACTTTTCAGTGCAATAAAAAATAAAAATAAAAAATAAAATAGTCTTTACATTTTCCCATGAGATGATGTTTCTTGTCATTATCTTAATCATTAGGTTTGTTTGAAGTAGCAATATGTAAGAATTGAATGTCAAGTCATCCTTAAATGGCCCTAATCTGTCCAAATGCATTAATAAACCATGCTCCTTTTGAATACTTCTTGATAAGAGTTGTTCAACCGTTTTACAGCCCTCCGAAATCTTGTTATTGTTTCCACCGTTTTACCAATCAGAGAGTCTGTGATCCGGGCTGCTAGAACTCCCGGCTAATCTCACTTGTAAAGTAACATGTGACTGCAGAAAAAAGGTTTTGTTATGATTCTCAAATCATGACAAAACCAGGATTTCTATCGAGGCCGTCGTGAAAAAGGTGTTGGTTATAGATTTGTTGTCGACAAAAATCTCCTTTAACTAGAATCCTCATCGTCCTGCTCAAATAGCTCTGTGTGGGGAACATGAATATTGCATCAAGATGAAGAGATCCTTTATTCCTTCCAGGGTGGGGACATTTCAGGGATGCATCCCAAGTTACAGACCAGTAGGAATGAGGAGCACACAGCAAAAAATGTGAAAAATAAGTAAAGCACAACCCTATACGTTAAAATAAAAATAAAATCTGCACCTGTTGTCTTCACAGTTGGCAGAAAAATGTATTTGGTTAAAGTTATATAGTTGAAAAATTCTCTGGAGTGTTTGTCACGTATAACTGCTTAGTGCTCATATTATTTGTCTGAAAAGCTTACACCTTGTTTACTCCCAGCTCCTTTGACCGTGAGCGAAAATCACGGGCACTTTCTGTTTCTTTTGAGGACGCGCTGAGCAACAGAGACGTTTGCAGATGCGATAACAACGTACGATAATAACGTACGTGTATGACCTGCAAGCAACCCACCATGCAACCCAGATATGGACAAATAAAACACTTCTTGCTTGAATGTGTCTCTCCTCACTAACGAAACAAACTAAAAGTAGTATTCCATTGTCTGCTCACAAAAACGACGCTTCCGGGTCCAAACCGTGTGTGTGTTTGTGTGTTCGTGGGACATCGAGACCTGCAGCGAACCCCTTCACCCCCCTACAGACCCCGGCGAGTCTGCGTTCCAGGACCCCTCACCCCGCAGCAGCCGTGGTGGTGCCTTGCCGCGGGGCACAGAGGCGTTTCTACACACACGGTGCAGATGATCCAGTCCTGGGTCAAGCGGCAGGGAGACGGGCCAAAACGGGCGTGAACATAAAGTATTGACGTCATCTATATAATGGGACTGCTTCAGCACCTTCTGGTAAATGTATTTAAAATAGCAACAATTGGGCAACGCACAAGTGAATGTTTTATTTTCTTCTACAGAAAATAGAGTAAGCAAAGTGGGAGAGTCTGGTTATGACATTTATAAATCATTTCACTGCTAAACAAAGCTGGATGCGCACACAACCAGTTTGTAGTCCTCGTGAAGAAGGTCATAAGAGCCGTGGTTGGGTGAGTGAAGCTCTTACCGTCAGAGTTAGGGCTTTTGCACACGCTACTCTGACTTTTATGAAGGATTTTTTTCTATATCAACATTTATTTTAATCTCCTTCTGGATAAGAGTTGCCCATTGTAATGTCTCTGTGGTCCTGAGTGCGGCGTGTTTGTTCCCGTCTTCCCTACGGTGAAACGCTGACACGGGTCCAAACAACACGCCAACTTTTCACATTGGCTTGTTGCTAGTGTTGATGCATCCTTACTGTTACATATTCGCCATTTGAACTTTGTATTTCCTTTCCCGTACAGAGACCAAAGCCATCGCACATGGCATCACTACTGCACATTAGAGTAATGAAAATAGCTCTTTATGTAATGTGTAGCGTGTAGCGTGTAGCGTGTTGGGGTGGTGGGCGGGGTCAGAACCCATCCTTGTTCTCCCCAGCACTAGCAGCGGTGGTCGGGTTGTTGGGTCGCACATTCGCTGTTTATCGCATTATGCTAAGTAGGACCGGGCCGCGCTTCTGCACAGTGTCGAAGGGGCGAGTCTCAAACGTCTCAAACTGCAGGATTATTGATTTGCGTTTAGTGCGGTTGACGCTTTGAAGGCAGCGGATCAAATGTTGAAAGTGCCGTGGTAAGACTGGAGAACATCCATGGGCTTTTTATAGAAATTTAGAAAGAAAAAGTTGAGTTTGAAACTGTATGTATGTATACTGTATATGTATGTATTTGAAGTCACACTCAGAAGTAAAACAGAGGTATTGCTGTAAAGATTTCTCGCGTAAACATAAAAATAGAAGAAAAAGAAAAAGGCCAAAGCTCCATAATGTATATTTATATTTATTTGACTGTTTATGTGGATTGGACCGTTTCAGCTCTGGTACCAGAGTCACACTCACAGACGCACAATCGTTCATCCAACTGTTGTATACCAGAGCACCCTCTGGAAACCAATGCAGACACGGGGAGAACATGCAAACTCCACCCAGAAATGCCTCGAGGTGGAAATGAACGCAGCACCTTCTTGTTGTGAAGCACAAGTGCTAACCACTCTTGTACATTGTCAAGGCTTGTTTAACAGAATCCAGATATAATTGTCAGAATTGCCAAATTCCACCTGCACGGGTGTAAAAACGGGTCGGATTACCAAAGTTGTAGATGTGCCGTTGCCGTGGGTGATGGATGACTGCTGCAGATGGGGATCACACAGAACCATATGTTTCTTACTCACAATGCTCCGCTCTCGTCAAGAGGAAATGAGAATCTCCCGACGCACTAAAAAACAATCCCAACTTTCAATTTCATCACAACGTTTCGTCCAGAGCTGAGGTGTAATGAACGGCTCTCAGTAGAGAAGTCCAAACGCTTTGGTGGAACTATTGCAGATGACACTTTTAAATGGTTTTGTTGTTATTGACTGATAGTATCTGTCCCACTAGTTTATCGCGGTCAAGTTGGTTCTATTGCTAGTATGTACAGTGTTTTGGGCCTCTGCCACATTTTTAGATCAGGATTCTTAGACATAGAAGTGAAAAAGAGAGTACCATTCAGCCAATGAGCTCCCAGCCTAAAGTGTCCAAAAGGGACTCACAGAGGATATGCTAAAGAGTATGCATCTTTAAGAAGTTATGAAGCTGAAGGCGCATATTCACACTGAAAGACCGAATGCAAATTCCCTCTTTCAAGCCTGCCGATCACACAGCTCTGCCAGCCCTGAGCCCCAGCCAATCACGCAGCTCTGCCAGCCCTGAGCCTCAGCCAATCACACAGCCCGGCCAGCCTCCTGCCAACCCTCTGTCACCAAAGCGGGCAGTTTAAAAGGCAGCCACTTCCTGACAAACAGCGCTTCCTGAAAGCTCTTAACACCCACCACCTCCCCAGCCCCTCCTCTGGCTCCCGCTCCCGTATTAATTGTGTCTTTGGTCTCTTCAGATTGAAATTGGAGCCTGAGACCATTAGCTGCAATCTATAGGGTTACTTTCTTTGATGAAACTGGTTTTGTCTGCAAAAGTTGCACGCATATTTCAATGAGACTTTATATCTCCAAAAGAGAGGTTACAAAGTTATGTGCTACATATATAAAGTAGATTTCAAAGAGCAAGATCCAAGTTTTCGAGTGGTTCTTTGCTGATGCAGGAGGGTGTAAGGACAGAGGTGATGATGACGTTAAAGGACATTTATTAACATTTATAGATATTGGTTGTCCACTCCCTCTGTTGTTGGAGAGTTAACAACTTTGTAATGTACTCTAAGACGACCGAGGTTGAGATTTAGGTCTACACAAAATGATTTGATTTGAATTGGTCATGACTTTCAATTCTCATGAAAACCAAATACCTATACATACACATACGTATGCATACAAATCTGATTACTATGTCTGGATTATTTTACAAAATGGCTTTGGATTTGCTAGGGTTAGAACTGCGTAACGACAAACCCGTTTTTGGCAAGAAATACACAACAAATGGAAATAGTTTGAGTTTCTTTGTTTACCGACACTGCAACAAAGCTTGGTTCATTAGAGAAATTTACTCCTTCCTCAGTAATTTTAGCAATCCAATTTACCTCTTTCCAGAAAGTGCTTTGCGTAGGAAGTAACTTAATCTCGGGAGTTTCCTAAGTGGTTAAAAGTACACCATCTGCCACTCAAACCTGCCAATCACTGAACGCCCGCTTTAATATTGTTTACTCGTGACCAGCCCATCATTAGCGCGCATATGTGTCGCCTTTTTTATGCTTTGAAGAACTCTCCTTAACACACTTTGGGTTTGTAATTTAAGTCCGAAAGTCCAACGCTTTGATATATGAAAGATAACAGGTAAATAGAAATAACGATCGACTCAAAAGCATGGTAAATTAAAAGTTTCTAAGTTTTTTCATTATTTGGGGCTCGAGTTTAACCAAAATCTTAACGTTTTACTGTAATATTCAATTGGTTGCGGGCATGGATTGGTTGCCGGATCATTTGATAAAAGCATAGCATCAGAGTCCAAGCCCTCAAGACAAAGTTCAGCTCTTGTTGCAATCATAGACTGTATGTAGAAAGACATTTTTGGTCAATGAAGCCCAATATGGAAGTGCTCATGGACGACGTTTTGCTCTGGCTCCTATTGACCAACATTGCAAAGTAGACTCCTCTTGCTCATTAACCGTTTGTGTCACACTCACCATTTTGGGTTTCCATGTTCCCTGCATTCCAATTTATGAGCCCTAACAACTGACCAATCAGGAGCATGGCATCATCTAACGACCATCTCCTGAACTCAAAACTCCAAATCACGGTGGAAGAAACGGACAAATTTCAGGGTTCCACTCCTACAGACAGACAATGGGAAGGATGGAGCGAGAGATCGACCGATAGCCACTGTATTGGACTGTTGTGGTTGAGAGGGAGAGGCGGCTGTAGTCAAAGCTCTTGATTCACAGCTCACGCTATACCACCAATGGTCATGTTGGGTTAATGACTGAAAAGATAAGGTTTGTTTTGTTAAAAAAGAAAAATGTTGATCTATATGCAGGATTGAAAGAAACAGATTACTTACTTACTGTACTTAGTGCTTATGTGAGTCTAGACACTAGGGGCTCAGAGTAGAGACGCTGCTCCTCCACATCTAGAGGAGTTCTGGGCATCTCCCATTCAGAGGGGGGACAATTCACGAGGCTTGCAGGTGTCTAAAGCCACGGTATAACTTCAAACAACACAAATGCATGTAACTAGTTCCTCACTCTCAAAATGGTTTGCTCAACAAGGCATCACTAGTTTTGATATTCATGTTTTTGGCCTAACTTTTTCACACAAAAAAGTGAAAAAGAGCGGACCACCCTCGCTCAGACATTCAACTTCCAGCCCAAAGTGTCAAAGAGTGAGTAAATGTATAATGTTTTCTAATGTATTGTTTAAGAAAAAATTTAGGCAAGCCTTTTTTAATATTGCAACCAGGGTTAATTTTTAATTCATTTCTAAGCATTTTTTTTTTCTTTTTTTTTCTGGGAACAACTCATACTTTAACATTCCTCATTAACATTATATGGACTGGTCTTGGGGGAAATAACATCTTTGCATCTTTGGGCAAGACACTTATACACTCCACAAACAATCCCATGGAAGACTCAGGAAACAATCTGAATCATATCCACTTGTGTCTAACATCATGCACACACAGGTTTTGGTCAGTTCGGGGTCGATGGGGGATTGGCCGAGGGGGAGTTGGCCGTAAGCGATGGGGGGGTCATTCATTTCCACTATGCGCGATCATGCAGCTGGTGGCACGGCTGTAATGAGAACGACCGGCGCGCAAGACAAATGGCGCGTAGAGCGTTCGAGGCGCCCGTGTCCGCGACGCACACATAAACAACACCGTAAGACCCGCCCCCTACCCCCTTTTTACCGAGTGAGCGAGGTCAAAGCTCAAGGCGGGGGGAATATTATTGTGATTTATGTCTCCGACGGTCAGTTAGGACGAGGCGACGCGGTGGGAGATCGGCTCGGCTTCGGCAACTGCAATTGGGGCGTGACAGTGTTGGGTTTTTGAAAGCGTGAAACATGATTCTAAGGATACAGGATTGTTTTTGACTTTTTTTGTTGATATTTTCTTCCTTGTCCTTATTGTTGCTTATTGGCGTGGACATTTTGAATATTGGAGTTGGAACCTAACGTACATTACCACACAAAAGATGCATTGTATCACAGTTCTTCTTGATATAATAATTCTTCTTTCCACTGCCACTGCTCCCCAACTCATCTCTCCCACTCATATTTAATTGCAAACGGGTTCTGAGTGGTGCTGCTGGTAATGGGCAGATCCAGGAGTAAACACCGCTGTTAAAATTAATTATTGCTATTCCCGGACTCGTAGTTATCATAGTACATATCTGTAACAAAAGCATTCATTTGATAGTGTTTATGTCATTCCTAACAAAGGGGTGTCCAAAACCTTTAGTAAGAGGGCCAATTTAGTACCCCAACATTTCCCAGGAACCAACAACATGGATTGACATGATTTGGGCGGTTCCGAGCTTTAAAATGAGGTATGACACATCTATGTCGGTTCACATTTGACAAAGCTGAAGTTGGCTGAATGACAAATGTTTACTACCAGATACAAACAGCAAAAAATATATATATATGAGGTAATATTTGATTTTGATTTGATTAGTGTGTTTTTTATCTTAATTTGAGAACATTGTGACCTCCTTAAAACAGCATTTGAGAATGAGACAACGCCGTTCAGTCTTATTTGAATAACACTTGCTTTATTATCTCATTCCAAGGGAGACATTTCTTGTATCTTAAAAAAAAAAAAGATATATTTGCTTGCCAAATTTGAGCTTTTTTTATTAAATCAAAAAGAAATTACAGAGTGAACGACTGGATTCCAGAAGTCTTGAGCTTCACAGCCTCTGTTGGGAGAGCTGAAGTTGGCTGGATGACACTGCAAACATGGTGTTCATGATCTCTAAGTCGACTTTAGGTTAGCGAGGACCACATGAAATGACAGAGCGTGGACGTGCCTGCTATAGCCTAATACTTTCTACCGTCGACCATTAGGGACTTCCTCTCCCCTAATAGCCGCAGAGGTGACAGCAGTAACCGCATCCTTAACGCTGGACAAATGCTCTTTGCAGGCGGCTGCAATTTCTCTCCCCCTGAAGGCTCACCATACATCTCCCCCGCATGTGATGGGCTCGTGAACGAAACGTGTTCTTAAAGCCAAATCGATGGCATTCTTTTTACGATTGCACTGTTTTTATATACGGCGTTTTGAGTTTGGTCGCCATGGTATGGACAGGGCAGTAAAAACGCCGGTTCCAATGCCGCGGAAGTCAATCCAGGTTTGGTCCATTATCTCGGCAGGTGGAAGGGTCAAACTGCTCTTGTTCTGCGTGACCGGACATGGAAGTGATTGTGGTTGTATGGCCAGAGAATATGGACCATGCTACAAAATAGACCATGCAAAAAAATATCAAATCACCATTGGGTTTTAAATTCATGTTTGCTGTCATGTTCAAAGTGCAGTAAGAAAATTCTAATTGAAGAAAAACAGAAACCTGAACAGTGATTTGAAGTACATTTGATAAAATGTTTCTGAAAAAATAAATAAAAAAATACTCTTCTTCAAGGCTACTTCATTAGCCTTGTAGTTGCCCTTTACATCATGTGCAGTTATCCTTGGATTATTAAATGTTTCAGAACTCTATACACAAGGGCAGTAAGAATTGAAATATTGTACACCAAAATAATTTTCAATAAGCAGGGAAATAATGCAAATAAAAAAATATTGCTGTCTTTGAGATGGCTAATTATGGCCACTAAAATTGCAATTTAAGGCCAGATTAAATCAGGCCTTTTATACAATCTGTTCAGACCACTTTTCTCTCAGTTTACACGGAGACACAGACCACTCTTATCTCAGTATACATATCATAATGACCACTGGGTACTTTGTAAAACATTTCTAAGTATTTCAAGTCCATCCATCCATCCATTTTCTTCCGCTTTATCCGTTGCCGGGTCGCGGGGGCAGCAGTCTAAGCAGAGACGCCCAGACTTCCCTATCCACACACACTTCCTCCAGCTCGTCCGGGGGGACCCCAAGGCGTTCCCAAGCCAGCTGAGAGATATAGTCCCTCCAGCGTGTCCTGGGTCTTCCGCGGGGCCTCCTCCCGGTGGGACGTGCCCGGAACACCTCCCCAGGGAGGCGTCCAGGAGGCATCCGGAACAGATGCCCGAGCCACCTCAACTGGTTCCTCTCGACGTGGAGAAGCAGCGGTTCTACTCCGAGCTCCTCCCGTGTGACTGAGCTCCTCACCCTATCTCTAAGGGAGCGCCCAGCCACTCTGCGGAGGAAGCTCATTTCGACCGCTTGTATCCGCGATCTCGTTCTTTCGGTCATTACCCAAAGCTCATGACCATAGATGAGGGAGGGAACGAAGATTGACCGGTAAATCGAGAGCTTTGCCTTTCGGCTCAGCTCCCTCTTCACCACAACGGTCCGATACAGCGACCGCATAACTGCGCACGCTGCACCGATCCGCCTGTCAATCTCACGCTCCATTCTTCCCTCACTCGTGAACAAGACCCCGAGATACTTGAACTCCTCCACTTGAGGAAGGACCTCTCCACCCACCTGCAGAGGGCAAGGCACCTTTTTCCGGTCGAGCACCATGGCCTCGGATTTGGAGGTGCTGATTCTCATCCCAGCCGCTTCACACTCGGCTGCAAACCGTCCCAGTGCATGCTGCAGGTCCTGGTTCGTTGGAGCCAACAGGACAACATCGTCCGCAAACAGCAGAGATGAAATCCTGTGGTCTCCGAACCGGACCCCCTCCGACCCCTGGCTGCGCCTAGATATTCTGTCCATAAATACAGTGAACAGAACCGGTGACAAAGGGCAGCCCTGTCGGAGGCCAACATTCACCGGGAACAGGTCTGACTTACTGCCGGCAATGCGAACACAGCTCTGGCTCTGGTCATACAGGGATCGGATGGCCCTCAGCAGAGGACCCCCGACCCCGTACTCCCGGAGAACCCCCCAAAGGACACCCCGGGGAACACAGTCGAACGCCTTCTCCAAATCCACAAAGCACATGTGGACAGGTTGGGCGAACTCCCATGAACCCTCGAGTATCCGATGGAGAGTATAGAGCTGGTCCAGTGTTCCGCGACCGGGACGAAAACCACACTGCTCCTCCTGGATCCGAGATTCGACCATCGGCCGTAGCCTCCTCTCCAGTACCCTGGAGTAGACCTTACCGGGGAGGCTGAGGAGTGTGATCCCACGATAATTGGAACATACCCTCCGGTCCCCCTTCTTGTAGAGAGGGACCACCACCCCGGTCTGCCACTCCATTGGCACTGCCCCCGATCGCCACGCGATGTTGCAGAGACGTGTCAGCCAAGACAGTCCTACAACATCCAGAGACTTTAGATAATCAGGGCGGATCTCATCCACACCCGGAGCCTTGCCACCATGGAGGCTACCAACCACCTTGGTGACCTCAGCCAGGGAGATGGATGTACCCGCCCCAACATCCTCAGCCTCTGCCTCTGTAACAGAGGACGTGACGGGGGGATTGAGGAGAACCTCAAAGTATTCCTTCCACCGCCCGACAATATCCCCAGTCGATGTCAGCAGCTCTCCACCCGCACCGTACATGGTGCTGGCAAAGAACTGCTTCCCCCTCCTGAGGCGCCGGATGGTTTGCCAGAATCTCTTCGAGGCCGACCGATAGTCATGCTCCATGGACTCTCCGAACTCCTCCCAGTCCCGGGTTTTTGCCTCTGCAACAGCCCGGGCCGCGGCACGCTTGGCCTGCCGGTACTGGACAGCTGCCTCAGGAGTCCCCCGAACCATCATGGCTCGATAGGACTCCTTCTTCAGCCTGACAGCATCCCTTACTGCCGGTGTCCACCACCGGGTTCGGGGGTTGCCGCCGGGACCAGCACCAGAGACCTTGCGACCACAGCTACGAGCCGCCGCATCGGCGATTGAGGCAGAGAACATGGTCCACTCGGACTCCATATCCCCCTCCTCCGCCGGGACCTGGGAGAAACTCTCCCGGAGGTGTGAGTTGAAAGTCCGTCTGACAGGGGGCTCAGCGAGACGTTCCCAGCAGACCCTCACTATACGCTTGGGTCTGCCAGGTCTGACCGGCTTCTTCCCCTGCCAGCGGATCCAACTCACGACCAGGTGATGATCGGTTGACAGCTCCGCCCCTCTCTTTACCCGAGTGTCCGAGACACGCGGTCGAAGGTCAGATGATACGACAACAAAGTCGATCATCGACCTCCGGCCTAGGGTGTCCTGGTGCCACGTGCACTGGTGGACACCCTTGTGCTCGAACATGGTGTTCGTGATGGACAAACCGTGACTGGCACAGAAGTCCAACAACTGAGCACCGCTCGGGTTCAGATCAGGGGGGCCGCTCTTCCCGATCACCCCTCTCCAAGTGTCACTAGCGTTTCCCACATGGGCGTTGAAGTCCCCCAGGAGAATAACGGAGTCCCCGGGCGGTGCACCGTCCAGTACCCCTCCCAAGGACTCCAAGAAGGCCGGGTACTCTACACTGCTGTTAGGCCCGTAGGCCGTCACAACAATGAGAGACTTGTCCCCCACCCGGAGGCGGAGGGACGCGACCCTCTCATTCACCGGGGAGAACTCCAACACGTGGCGGCTGAGATGGGGGGCAATGAGAATGGCCACCCCAGCTCGCTGCCTCTCCCCGCGGGAAACTCCAGAAAAGTGGAGCGTCCAACCCGTCTCAAGGAGTTGGGTTCCAGAGCCCAAGCTGTGTGTGGAGGTGAGGCCGACTATCTCTAGTCGGTATCGCTCAACCTCCCCCACAAGCTCGGGCTCCTTCCCCCCCAGTGAGGTGACGTTCCACGTCCCAAGAGCCAGATGTTGTGTGTGCGGACTGGGTCGCCGAGGTCTCCGCCTTCGACTGCCGCCCAGTCCTCTCAGCACCGCTTCACCACGGACCCCTCTGCAGGTGGTGGGCCCACAGGAGGGACTGCCCACGTCATCCCTTCGGGCTGAGCCCGGCCGGGCCCCGTGGGCTAAGGCCCGGCCACCAGGCGCTCGCATACGGGCCCCGACCCCAGGCCTGGCTCCAGGGTGGGGCCCCGGCTGCGCCATGCCGGGCGACGTCACTGTTTTCATATTAGTGTTGTCCATGGTGTCTTCTGGGGACTGCTCTTTGTCTGACTCGTCACCTGAGACCTGTCTGCCATGGGAGGCCCTACCAGGGGCATGAAGCCCCAGACAGCTTAGCTCCCAGGATCATCCGAGTACTCAAACTCCCCCACCACGTTAAGGTGGCAGTCCAGGGGGGAGTATTTCAAGTGATTTTTTTTTTTTTTTTTTTTTTTTTTTTTTTTCTAATCAAGTGATTAGAAAAAAAAAAAAATTAAGCAAAAACTATAACTATCCATTATATATTCTTTTCCCTGTTTGTTCTAAAAATTTCCAGGATATTATTGCACATAATATATATCAATCATGATCAACCAAATCTCCCAAGCATGATTTTATTCCCAAGATTTGAAGAGCCTTTTGAAGACCAGCCATCCACATCAAAAACCCAAATGTCTTATAATACGTCTTCATACTCTCCCACTGACAGCGAGACATGAAAACATATTTGTTTCTGGCCCCTTGGTAACAGTGACCCCTGAAACTTTAGCTCCATCTTCCCCCATGCGCTGCTCACAGAACAGGGGGAATGGGAGGGAGGCGTCCAAACACACACCCACAATCCTGAACAGTTTTCAGGATCCTGCCTCGCACCTTTGCCCCTGGCCTTGGCTGTCATCTTTCAATGAGCTATGACAAAGTGGACAGGGTAAATTGTTTAACACAGGTGGGTGGGAATGTGGGTTTTGTGTGTGTAAATAGAAGGGGAATCCAACTTGTAGGACCTGCATTTCCTTGGTTCAAACCAGGCCAAGCTTTTTCTCAATTCCTTTGTTTTTGTAGAGTCCAACTTTGGCAAATTGTCAATTCGCCAGAGCCAGAGCCAAAGGTCCATAGGCAGCGGGATGGGTACTGTCCATAAATGTTAATGAAGGTGTATAAATGTTCAAAAAACTTCCTAAAGCCCACTGAGCTGGTACTTATGGGACGTTCAGGCCGCTGATGCTGGAACGCAGGTGCCACGAGCAATAGACACACTTTTTCTAAATTTCAGACGCTCGGGGTCTTCAGGCCTGTGGTGTCATCCGCCATAAGTGGTGATGCTAACAAAGTTAATCTAGCGGATTTTTGTGTAAAGTTGTTCTCCAAGAATGCAGCTCTGCAATGTCTGAGACTTTCCAGAGACTTTATATAACGTGTTCATGAAGGTGCGCCATACGTTTATTTTATTATTAAACGGTACTTCCACGTCGGCAAACACGCTACAGTAGCTGCACTAGTTTATAGTCACTGGACAATGAGAACTCAGACTGGAGGCATTTGTTCACAAGCACTGTGTCCCCCATTGTCAACCCTGGTTTAGTCCCGGTGTAGCTCCTGTTTTGGCTGTTTACGAGTATTTTCAATCTGCTCGCTAGACTGTTGATGTCCCCGTGACCACTTTGTGGCTCTCTGATTGGTCGCTGCACATGCGTCCCGAGGAAAAAGTTCAGCAATGTTTATCTCTAGCATGGGTCAATTTTCCCTCTACCGCACAGTCCGTGCATGCGTCCCGAGACGCACACGTTCAAACGCTCGTCGACGACTTTGCTTTGAAAGTCGCGCAACGCATGATCCGGTCTGAACGCCCCATTAGTCTTCTACCTCCCAGGGATTGGCTACTAAGGAATTTCCCCGGAAACTGCTGTTGTGACGTTACTGCTTAATTTTGTCACAATGAATAAGCTTAATTTCATTGTATCATCAATATTTTTTGTAATTCATTTAAAAAAAATGAATATATATAATGTTATAACAGAAGCGAGGCAACCAGTCCGTGCCATCATCCTCTCCGACCACCACCAACCATTCACCCACAAAGACTAAAAGCAATGTGGGTGAAGTGTCTTGCTCAAGGACACAACAACAGCTTGGCGCTATACAGCCGCAGCTGTCTCCCTCACAGCACTAACCAAGCCCTGCCCTGCTTAGCTTCAGGGGTCAGACTGGATCTGGCTTTCACATGGAGTTGGCGCCAAAAGTATTATTGGTTTTAATAGTTGTGAAAAATGACAATTATTAACTGACAACAAAACAATTTTGTTATTTGCACTATGAAAACCGTAACATGCTAAATCAACATATGCTGAGAGCGCCCCCTCTGTTTGTGCTCGGTAAGACGACCCTTGTTCTCTGTAAACAATCTGGTATGGGAGTCAGAGTGCTGATTCAGGCTCGTGTATAGATCTTCTTCTCCACCTTTACCAACCCCCCCACCTCTTACTGTTGGACTCACTGGTGCCAAATGAAGTTCCCACCCCGCAAATCTAATTCCAGCCCATTCCCGGGGAAACCTATTGAGGACCATTAGATTTTGCCTGCCACATAATATCAGGCAGGCTCACGTGGCGCTAAAGGAATCACCATGTCGGAAATAAAAGACAAATTGGGTTTGTCGCTGAAGACGGGAATGGGGGGCCCGCAGAGAGGATGCTCGGCTGCCGTAGTCACCAGGGTTAAAGAGGTCTGCAGGGACGGTCGATGTGGAGGACTGATTCGGCACAAATACTCATTTCTAATCACTGTATATTTGTCCATAGCTGGAATTAAAGTTAATATTTGAAACCCGATCCGTGCAGGGGAGGGTGGCCACAAGGTTGTGCTTTATCCCCTCACTATTTTACTTTACACAGGCCACAGATACACAGATGCAGGTTCATTTTCATTACGTCTTCACCACTACTTTTTGGAAATGCAGTAGTTATTTTAGACAAAGCCATAGGAGTGCAATATTACGTGCACTTTAAGTCAGTTGGGGAAATGCAATTGGAATTTTAGACAAGGCCGTAGGAGTGAAATGTTAACTGTACAATTTTAAGGCCAATTTAGGAGGTACTCTATACATTTTATGGGGCTATTAGGGGCAGTGCAATAAATTAGCTCTTTAAAAACATGTCGGGAAGGTGCAATTGTTGTAATTTTTCATGTGACAAAGCCCATGTGGAAGTTTATGTGTAATGCCCCTTTTTCTTGAAGGGTGAAGTTCTTAGTTCTGTGAATGTTTCTGCACTTATTGTCTTGTAATTGACTATGGCCTTGTTTAGACAGAGATGACCAGGCTCACTATTCCAAGTGCACAGCGTCTACACAAGAAACAAAAAACTATGCGGTTTTAGCGTCCGGCCAGTAGTAGGCAATGGAACTATACACGACACAACATGCGCGATCTCCACCGGTATAAACTCTTCCTCAACAACATCCTCCTCAGGCCGCAGCAAAGACCTGACAGATACAACATCATTCTGCGTTTAACAGCAACAGCGAAAATGGAAACTGAAACGACAGCTTTGCAAGGTTTCGTTTTGGACAGATGAAAGACTGTAATTCTCCTCCGTGTGAAGCCATTGTTGTTTACGTTTGTTCTCGGCTAATGCACATGTCCAAATGTACGTGTGGGGAAGTGGTAAGGTCATAGTAGGCAGAGAATTCCCACCGTTTTCTTCGCACAGGTGTGGAACAGCCCCCACCGAGCAGCGTATTGTTTTGTTTTACTTTGTAGGCTCTTTCTCAACGCTTGTGTTTTCACCTGAAACACAGTTTTTGTGTAAAAGGCCAATCCGGTGCCCAACTCTATTGTATTACTGTCGCAGTGTCCTTGTGTAAACGGCCTCTATGAATGGGCTTTTCTCATCTCATCTTATCTCAGAATCATGTTATCTTGGCTTTTTATGGACAGAAACTTCACAAGTTAGTTACAACAACATCTGTTGTTCCATAGCTGATTAATGTCAACTTTTTATATTTTGAATAGATATATTCAAGAAGTTTTAACACAGATTTTGTTTAGTTTTTTTGTGAACAGTAAAGGATGATAATAAGATATTGTTTGGACACTGATGCTTCACATGGCATTATTATTGCAGTCATTACCTTGTATTGTATAGCATTGATAACTACAGTAGCCACAGCTGTCCCGGGCCAGGGCCACAGTACCCTTTTTACTTAAGGTCCGAATAAAAATGTTGTGGCTTGTGTGCACAGCAGCGTGAGTTCAGAGGACTACTACAGCCTTCCCATCAGTGCTGCTGCAGCTGTCAAAAGCTGAGTATACACTGTAAAACACAACTGCAGCAGCGCTCAGAGATACAATGAACAGATTGGATATCTCCGCACTTCAGCCGTTGTGAGTTCTGGTATTCAGGAAAGTGTATAAACGAGGTATAACTGAAAATACAATAGTTATTTTTTTTTAGCATCAACCCTCAGCTTCCCCAAACCCTCGACCACATCCCGACCTTTCTGCACTGCCATTTCCTCTTCTCATCTTACCTCACGCTAAGAACATCGCCTGCAGAAAAGTCACTGTCCTTTTCCCGACCACATAAACGACCGCCCGTGGAGTGGGGGATTGTGGGTCCATTCTCTCGAAGCCGTGTGGCCCTTTGGCACAAGCAGCACCAGAGCCCTCAGGAGCCATGATGGCATTACCGCAGATTACCGCACTGTGTTTGGCTGTGGCGGGTGGGCTGCTGGGGGGGCTGGGGTTTCGCTTGTGGCGGCCATGTTGGAATGGTTGGTTTTCCCCCGCGGACAGATGCGTTGCCAAAGCCTGTTGAGCTCCTTGTCACACTCCCCCTGCGCAGGAGTGCTGGGGTGAAGGCATTCCGGAGCTGGCGCCACCAAAGCGAACCCACACGTAGATGTGCCATGGAGGGAAAGCCAAAAATCTGCAAAATGTATACTCCAGCAGTTGTAGCTTTGGCAGCTCAACTTTGTATTATTTTTCCTCAACTTTGCCTTAGAGCAGTGTTTCCCAACCCAATGACCAATGTCCATAGATGTTGAAAAAGTCCATAAATATCGCTCAATGTCGAATGCATTCAACCACATGACACCAAGGGGTATGTGGCGGTATTACAGGGGGTACTTGGAATGAATGATATTGTATAAAACTTGGGCAATCATTGATATAGTACTGTCTCTGTAGTATTACTGTCGGAATCGCGGGAGCTGAGCAGGTCGGGGGTGGGCCCCTCGGGACACAGTAAACCTGCTCCACTCCAAAGTGTCTGTGCGTTCATCCGCTGCAGCAGGAAGTCACACGTGCACCTGTCAATAACCATGCTCACAATCTGACAAGACTCCGCACTCTTTTGCGGAATATATGTGAGTGTGCTGTGTATGGGTACAGTATGTGAGGTAGTGTTAGGGGAAAGATAAGGGAGAAAGTTGTCACCAGGGTGTTATTTTGTTGTATGTATTGTTGTGGCTGGGTGTATTCACTAATGTGGCTTTCTAACCAATATATTAAGTTTTTTTATGTGCTGGAAATGGCAGCAAGTCCTAAGTAGCTCTGAATCAGTTGTTGTTTTGTGCTTTATAATTCATGATTTTTGTAGATGTTGCTGCAGTACGGTGTTCATGGTTTTGCACTGGACCAGACAGGAGCAGAGAGGATTCATGGTCTGAAACAAGTGGATCAGGCAATAATCCACTATAGAGGAATTCTAACTTTTAGAAAAATGATAACAAAGCATTCAGCATTTTACCTTGGACCAGAGCAGAGAAAATGGTGCTGTTGCATTTTAACACTATTATTAGCTATTTTTTAGACTTTTTTTGTGTTGTTTGTATGAACGTATGTGTTTTTGTTGTTCCTGGACGCCTGAAATTATCCTATGGTGGATCAATAAAGTATCTATTCTATCTATCTATACACACATCATACCCAATTTTAATGCCTGGAAGAGCTCGTATTCAGTATTTTGTTTAAAATGTGTGTTGTTTGTGTTTAAGTGGTTTAGAGTTATGGTATTTACAACATTTAAAACATATTTTAATGCTAACACTATACCACGCTATAGTATGACTCTTTGAAACTTATTATCAGGCATGCGCCACCGAACAGGAGGCGCATGCCAGACCTATTGTACATATTTCTAGTGGTAGGGGAAACCGGAGTAGCCGGAGGAAACCTACGCAGACACGGGGAGAACATGCAAACTCCACCCAGAAAGGCCCTGTTCTGACCGGGATTTGAACCCAGGACCTTCTTGCTTACCACTCAGCCACCATAACACAGTCACATTAATGGCTACAGAGATGGATTCCAAAACCAATGTCTTTCCTATCAGGTATAACATGACTATATTGATGGAGCAGAAGTTGGCTGGATGACACTGAGAAAGGGCCTCAATGGCTACTTTATGTGAGCAAGGCAAAGGGCCACAAGAAATGACGCAACGGGCCGAATTTTTCTCGCAGGCCTCCGTTTGGACATGCCTGACTTAGACATTTCAGCCGTTGATGTCTCTATGTAAATGATTCTGAGACAAGGACAAACGCAGTCCAGCGGCATGACTGATTTAGTGACAGCAATACACACATCTTCTCGCAGCAGTAAATTTGTACTCCTATTTCATGTGGGTCGTGTAGGGCCCGTAAAACCCCCTCTCCAGGACCCCCGGGGACCGAGGTGACGATCAAGGACACCCCCCCAGTCCACCTTTATTCCAAACCCTCATTTCCTTGCCAAGTTCTCCAACCCGCAAAACAGCTCTCCCCCTCGATGTCATGAAGTCCGGGGGCGACTACACATCCCACGATGCCTTGGAAGCGGGGTCTTGACCTCGCCGCCCAAAGTCCCATGCTTCATTTTCTCCCGGAATTCCCTTGGAAAGTTAAAATTGTGGATAATTCAATTCAAGGGCACGAATTTAAGATGGCAACGGAGGCAGCGGGTTTGCATCGGAAGAGATATAAAATATTACGGGTATTAGCAAAGATGAGTGTGACCCGTAATGATATAAAAAGGCCAGAGATGTGGAGGAGATGGGCTCCTCCTCAGGCTGGCCCTTTTCACACCAGTCCCAGAGCGCAAGGAGGATAGCCGGAATTACGGTGACTTGGCGGACAGGCGGTCTACACTTGCTAGAATATGGGCCAAATACAAATTCAATTTAAGAATTCATAAGTAGAGCAGTGAGAGAAATTGTCTTCAAAGGACGTTATTCCAGTGTATTTTTCTTTTCTTTTTCTGGTGTCGAAGTCTATCGTTGCTGGCTTGCACACGCCCCGGTTTTGCCGATATAAACACGTTCAGACTCACACCACTGTACTCCTACACCGGAGAGGTGGGTGAAGTGCAAAGACACAACAACTGTAAGTGCTGTAAAAGTGCTAGATGTGTTTTTTACTCTTGATCTCTTTCTTCTAACTTTGCAACTATAAAAAAATAACTATGTACTATAATCCATTTAAATAGTTCCTGGCTCACAAAATGCCTGTCACATCTTTAGATCCTATTGAAAAAGAGAGGACCATAATCATTCAGCCAATCAGCTCTCAGTCGGTAAAAGATTAGGTTATTTCTGATAAGATTGTAGATGTAAGTTTTCTCTTGGAACCATGTACATTGGTTTGTTATGTTTATCTTTGTGCAGGATTGAAATAAACAATATTTATTAACTTATTGACAAGTTCTCGAAATGAGTTTTTTCCCGAGTGAGTCTAGACACACAGAAGGAGCTCAGAAAAGAGATGCTGCTCCTCCACATCCAGAGAAGCCAGTTAAGGAGGCACAAGCATCTGGTAGGTGTCTAATAGTTGCGGCACCTAACTTTCAAATTGAACAATGTAATAAAACACATCAAACTAGTTCCTCACTCTCGAAACGCACACATTTTCACATGCATATACTATATTTGGCCTTGTATATATATTTCCCATGATTTCACCCCAAACCGTGGGTCGAGACTTCCTTTCACACAGAGTGACACAGGCTGGTGTGTCACAACAACTTGGCATGTGACCCGCCTCACGAACTAGTCCTTCAGCATGTCCAGTGTGAACACGCCAGGGCCAAATATAACGGTAATCAAGACAGGGATTAAACCAAACTCTTTTATAGCCGTCTGCTCTTTCATAAAGTTGTCCTTGTAAAATAACATGTTTGAAAATCCGTCCATTTTAAGGCAATTCTCAAGGGCCCTGGTACACTCACCTCAGAAAAGTAATTGTGAAAGTCGGAAAGTAAGTTTTTGACCATTTTAACACATTTTTGTCTTCCCCGTGGTGAAAAGCAGATACAGGTCCACTCCAGACAAAACTCTAACCATTCCCACTGTTGGCCCACCACTTCAACGCAATACGGCAGTGGGAAAGGGGAGTTTTACTCCATAGCTGCCAGCAACAATAGTTCAAAAACTACAGCGCTAACACTTCTCTGCAGCGTTCTGAAGGTCAAATGCAGAATTCAGACCATTTTTTGCTGAATTGGCTCAAAAGTTTCACGATACAACTACTCTTTGATGAGAAAATGAATAGATCTACACATATGGACCTTCGAAGTCCTGTCCACTTGTTAGTCCCAGTTAATTTAAGCAAAAAGTCTGTTTAAAATTTGAAGGCACGACACAGGCTTGCCACCCATGTAACTAGTCAATGTGTGACTACTACTGTATACTAGAGATATTTTCTGCCCATCAAATCCAAATATTTTAGTTATAGATATACATTTTGAAAAGAAATGTAGGTCTTTTGGTCATAAATCCATTACACCCAGTAGTTGAATTTCCCAGGCTTTCAAACTTTTGTAATTCAGTTTTAATAGGGTTTTCAATTGGACTAAAGTGGACAGAAATCTCAGCTCCTTGTACAGGCCTTAAGATGCATCATTGTTCACTCAGATCTGGTTTGCCCATGAGTTTGAAAACCTCAAAAACAGACCCAAAACAGAAATTGGGTCGATATCATTCAAAACTAGCACAAACTGAAAAAGTTAGGACAATTTATTCTGCTACGATAACCAGTGTGCAGTAACTAGGTCAACCATGCCGCCGTCCAGATGCAGCCGAGAGGGGGCCGAGCAGGTGCCCCTCTCCAGCTAGGGGTCCCGCCGATGAAGCTTCGCCAAACAAGACTCCCTTGCCCCGTGACAGCCACACGTCACTCTCCGCTTGGACCATCTGGGCACCCTTCTCCCCGTCCTACCTGCCCAAGATGGCGGGGGCTTCGGGGTTGGCGGCAGATGCCAGTTCCTCCGCGTTCACCTCGTCACCCCGTTCCATCCGTCCCCATCACTTCTTCACCGCGCTCTCCATTCCTGTCATGTCGGGAAGCAGCTGGTAGCCATCTTGTCGCGTTGAGCCATATGCCGGCGTTGACCTCGGCGACGGTGAAGGGCTAGGGGGTAGTTTGTGTGTGTGCGTGTGTGTGTGTGTGTTTTGGTATACATCTCCAGGAGCTAAATGATTCGACTGGGGCTAATAACTCTGCCGGCGCGATATGGGGGGCAGTGAGGAGGGGGACGAACAGCAGGACAGAGCTGCGAGGGGTTAGAAAGTCTTCTGTGAGGTTTCAGGAAGAATGATGTGGCGAGAGTGCGCGCAAGGTGAAAGAAAAACAAATAATACAGCATTTGTGTGAAAGTTTTACGAGTGAGCTATTGATTTTAAAGTATTTGCGTCGTATTTTCATCCAACCTCTTTTTCAAAACATGTGCAGGACTTTCTGGACGATGAAGGCCACCAGAAAGGACTTTTTACCCACATACTGTATGCCACACTTGAATGTAAGCCGCAGGTTTTCATGTTGTAACCAAAACAAAGCTGATAGATGATTGTTTTAAATGGTCACGACATGATTTAAGGAGGTGTTTTTACGCACCGCTGAGTTGTGATGGACAATGCTTTTTAAATGAACCACTAAAATCTGAGGACGCAAACATTCACTTGCTTACCGTAGCTGTTAGCGTCCATGACTCATTTACCACTCACTCATTTATCTATTTTGGTATACAAGTCCATAAACCCAGTTCTGACAACAGCACAAGAAAAAAGTAGCTTATGGTCCGCCAATTTCAGCAAGTTAAAATATGTTCTCTTGTTCGGTGGATTTGTGTTGTACTTGGTCTGAAAAATAAAAAAACTTTTGCTTGATGTATTGCAGACCAGGGCAAAAACCCCTGTAGTCTGTGCTTATCTAAACGAACGGGAGTCAATACCCAATGCAGGTTTGTAACTTAATAGTTGTGTTACTATGTCAGATTCAGATGCATTTTATTTGCCCTTTGCAGTAAAACCACATTGGAATACATCTGCAAAGGTCCCCAGTGTGCACCAGACCAGTACATACATACAAAAAGTACAGAAATAAAACAAAAAACAATTGCCAATGTGAAATCAATCAACTAAAACAGTTTCAGCACAAGCGCAGATCACATGTTCTCATTTTAAAACAATATTTTGTCAAGAAAAAACCTCATAGATTGGGAACCACTGAAGTAGACCAAACAAGGTATAATGACAAATCTGCAGAATCGGGTTAAAATTTGTGTCAAACCGCCATCTTTGAGTTGGACAAAAAGTTGAGTTTGAACCTCCTTGCACCAAGAGGGTTCAATCTCTCGAATAAGTAATTTTATCTCGAAAGACGCAAGCTCCAAAAAGAGACCTATAAACTCTGCACTACGCCACTGAGCCTCTTGACACTAGCATTAAACAATGGGTCAAATGCAGACGACAGATTTCCGCACAAGGACATTAAATTATAGATGAATCTTTCCTGCCACAGGTGCAAAAAAAATCTGGTTCATTTTTTGTGCCACAAGAATCTGATAAAAAAACATTAGCTGCTTTAGCTCCGGGAATTTCAAGTGTAGGTCACTGCGAACAAAGGGGGAGTAGTCTGTGGATATTTAATAAGAAAAAAATCTACTGCTTTGAATCTACTTTTCCACTGCCTGGTTACCACTTCAACTGGGCCAGAGGTTTTTAGGGTCAAAGGAAAATTAATCAGCTTCCACACACACTCTCTCTCTTTTTCTCTGGCTTTTTTTTCGCTCTCCCTTCTACCGTCCCCTTTAAAAAGTCCCTTGGGTGCACTGCTCTCCTCCCGCTCTGTCTTCTACACACACTACCTGTCTATCCTTCAGGGAGAGGACACGCCATCGCCATTCTGCACACACAAACTCACGCACGCACACACACACACACACGGTGACAAGACAGCCCCCCTTCCTTTCGCCTCACACCGCACACATATACCCACACATACAGATACGTATACACACACACATACACACGCAGGCACGCACGTACACACACAAGCAACGGCCCGTGATCCAAGCGCACCCGTCACATTTACATTTCAAACCGCGGCGGCTCCCAACCCAACACATCCATTATTTACCAGCCGCTGGCCAGAGGGAGGGGGGGAGGAGGGGGAGTGGTGGTATGAGGTGGTTTGGGTTGTACGGGGTGCCTTATCCATACTCCCCAGGTTGAGTGCTGCATGTGTATCTGGCAACCACAGTGATGCAGTTTTGAAATGTGCTGTTATGAGATTTTCTTAATGACCAAAATTGAATGCTCCCCTATGGTAGTATTAGTAGCAGTGGAGTAATAGTCAGAGTGTTAGCAGTACTTGCAGCAGTAGTAGTAGTATTAGGGGCTGGGTGGCGAAACAATATGATCTGTTGTCTCTGTATGTCTCCTGTGACCCTGCTTAGTGTAATTAAATATCTGTTTGGTTAGTTTAATGTTAAGCCATAACTTGTCATTGCTAATACTCATAGTATTTGCCAAATGAGGATGAAGCCCATTCGAACATAAGCGTCCCGGCGCTAATTCCCTAAAAAGGGCATTTGTTCTATCAGTTTTGTGCCATAACCGCGGCAGATGTGGTGCTAGGGCAAGCCAAAGTTTCCCCTGCGACTTAAGTCATCTGATTGGTCAAGCTGTATATAGTGAATATCTGGATTTACAAAGCTAATATCCAAATAAAAACACTAGGACTACGCTAAACCAAATTTTTTTAAAGCCCAAAATGGTTTCTGAGCGAGAGGAGTTTACTTTTTATCACAAGTCAATAGAAGCCAGAGCAAAACGTTGTCCGTGAGCACTTACCTTTCGGGCTTCATTGAGCTTTCAGGTTAGCATTATCCATATATATGCAGTCTATGATCAAAGGTCTATACTTTGGTTTCTGAAGCCATGTTTAAGAGACACTTACAGCTACTTCTCTCTGTATATTTTGTGTGGTACTTGTGTGCACTTACTTACTGTCCTGTATCAATCAATCAATATTCATTTGTTGAGCACTTTTCATTAGAAAAAACCCTACAACAGGCCCACCGAAACAAAACCTGCAGACAACAGTCCCAGTCATACATCCATTCACACTGATACACACATACAAATCAAAATAATCCAAATTATTAATGCAAATTGTGTGTTTAGTGTATCTCTGAAATGTCTCCACTGTGGGATAAATAAAGGCTCTCTTGTCTCGTCTTAAAATAGGCAACGCTGTCCTGTCCAAGTCCAGAATAAGCGCCTCTGCTTTTGCTCTTGCCCGGACGCCACAGTGAAGGCTCAGCCCAGTGGAACAGTGCTTCAAACACCTGCGTCTGTGTTGTGGCTGGCCTCTCCTCGGGCCGGGACACGCACCGCAGGTTTCGCCTCATCCCGGGCCAAGTGCTCTGGCGCGGGCCCCGATGCTTGGCTGGAGCTCTGGACGTTAGCGAAAGAGGAGAGCGAGAGCCGGTGATGTTCTGTCTGCACCGTGCATCCGCAATCGCTGGAGGACTCGCCAACGACCACAATGCCATTTGCTTTTTAATCAGTTAAAAATCCCAATCTTGGCCATATTAAAACAAATAAAAACACAATATATGATATGTAATGTCTATATTGTATATTAGTTTCGAATTGTAAGGGTTGAATTACAAATTTGTTTACAATATTCTAATTTCAACAGTTAATTACGTCGCTAAAACTAAAATTATAATTGTTGAAAAGATATTGAGAAAACCAGCGATCATACATTAAATCATACTTTAGGCCAAGATAGCATATGGGGACACTATTCTGGCAGAAGTATGGTAACTCGAGCACTATCCTCTCTCTTTCCTTATGACTTCAGTTGTAGTCTGTTCATTGCTATTTACCCGCTGTGCCATAGCCTGATTCATGGCGTTATAATGGGACCCTTGAATCCGGTCTTTTTGTAACTGCACCTGAGGGTTTTTTTAATTCATTTTCTAGACATTTAAGGACATGCATTAACATTTCTGGACAGTGGTCATTCCGCTTCCTTTGCGCCAATGACTCTCATGTGTTTGTTATTATTAGGCCCGAGCCCCAACCGGGGTAAGGGCCTATTGCTTTTCCAACGAGTAATGCCTGGGCGAAGCCCAGGCATTACTCGTTGAACTGTTTTAAGTCACAATCTCCGGGCGCAGCCCGGAGATTGTGACCTGCACGCGACGGCACGTGCCCAAGCACTGATAAATCCGTGCCGGAGGCACGGAATGGCTTTGTTCCTGCTCTAGTACACAGTGAAATGATTGAAGTCCTATTAAAGGGGGGTTCCTTCAACTGTTTTACGGACGAATGTCCGGGCAAAGCCCGGACATTCGTCCCCCAAGCCCGACGGCGCGTGCCCAGACACTGACAAAACAGTGCCGGAGGCACTGAATGGCTTTGTTCCTGCTGTAGTACACAGTGAAATGATTGAAGTCCTATTAAAGGGGGGTTCCTTCAACTGTTTTACGGACGAATGTCCGGGCGAAGCCCGGACATTCGTCCCCCAAGCCCGACGGCGCGTGCCCAGACACTGACAAAACAGTGCCAGAGGCACTGAATGGCTTTGCTCCTGCTGTAGTACACAGTGTAATCAATGGGGTCCTATGGGGGGGGTGGGTGACCTCATGATGGCGAGGTGATTGACGAGCGCGTCAGCGCTCGTCAATCACCGAGAACCCAATAGTTGCGTTCGTCTGGTCGTTCGCTTTAAAACGACGTATCATTTGTATTATAGGTTACTATGGAAACCTATATTGTTTTTGCTCGAAGATTTAAAAAAAAAAATTCCTTGGTTTATTATTTATTTATTATTTCTTTTTTCTTCTGCGCTTTGAACCTTAATTTGACCCCCTGAACATTGATGAAAAGTTGTGAAATTTTGCCCAAAATTCAGAACCGGTGAAAAATTAATTTTTTTGGTGTTTATTTTTAAGGGACTAAAAAAATGTCAGAATAGCGCCCCCTACAAAAGTCAGTTTACATTGCGCCTATGGGAGGGGGTCGAAGGTCAAGTTTGTCGTAGAGCCACGAAATTCGGTACACATGTTCCTCAGGTCAAGACATGAAAAAAAAGTTATTATGGCTCCGCCCCCTGACAAACAGGAAGCTCATTAATTTAATTGGAAAATGGAAAAATGAAAATTGATCTTTTTCACACATGTCGGCTGGAAATTATCTCCTCCTCGGCCGTTTCACCGATTTGTCTCAAAATCGCTCCACATGGTCTAAACCCATGTCCCATCTATTATTGAATATAGAATTTGGATCAGTTAAACGTTGTCCGAGCAGCGGAGCGGCAAAATGTGACATGTTTTTTCCAATTTTTGACAAAAGTAAATTTGCTCCCATTTGCACAAAAAAAGTCAGATTTGCACCAAATTTTAATCCATTGTTCAGCTCCAGGGTCTAGGTCATCTGAAAGTGGAAATATTGAAATTGGCTCATTAGCGCCCCCTACAGACTATGTTAAAGTTTTACATGGGCTTTTTAAAATTTAGTTTTGTCAAAATGTTTGAAATTTTGCACATAATTCTGTTTTGTCATCTGGATTCAAAAAGTCAATGACAACATATGATTATTTTTTACCCTGTTGCCGTGGCGACGACCAACACTCCCCTGTCTGTGTCTATGAGAAAATCGTTAAATCTCTGAAAAGTACACCTCGCTCAAACATCAAACCAGCCACGGCCGTTTCCCTAATTTGTCTGAAAATCGCTCCACATGGTGTCCACACATGGACCATCAATAGTTGCATATAGAGTTTTAATTAGTCAAACGGTCTGCGCGTGACAGACTCCCAAAGTGTGGTCATTTTCATAGAGAGGTGTGAAGTTCCCATGTTATCTCCATGTTAGACTCTATGGACACACTCACAGATTGTATGTTTAAACAGGAGCACATTTACAAACTCTGATTTGCACTAAACTTGACTCGGTTGTTCAACTCCTGGGCCTAGGTCACATGACAGTGTGAACAATGACATTGTCCCATTAGCGCCCCCTACAGCCTGAGTCAAGGTTTACATGGGGATACAGGTATATAGGTTTTCTGTTGTTGGATCTCATATTTGACCCACTGAACAAACTCTGCCACAAGTTTTTTTCAGGCATAAAGTGTATAATTTTGGTGTTCTTTGGTATAACACTAAAAAAAAAAAATTGTAGGGGGCGCTGTTTGTACAACATTAAATGCCACCATTTGCACATACAAAGTCCGATTTGCACAAAATTTGAATTGATTTTTCAACTCTTGGGTTTGGGTAAACTGAAAGTGTTAAAGACGAAATTGCAGATATAGCGCCCCCTACAGACGGAGTCAAGTATTACATGGGGAGAATCAAGTTTACCTTTTCAATAGACACACACAATCACTAATCATAGGCATTCAAAATGCACAGTGTCGCTCCCATCAGGGGGGGAAAAAAATGGCGCGTCAGCGCCACCTCCTTTGCGCGGTGCGGCGAGGGCCGTTAGATGCCGCTTGCGGCTTTAATTAGGCCCGAGCCCCGAACGGGGTAAGGGCCTATTGCTTTCACAATGGTGAAAACAAATGGTGGCGGTGCGTGACGGACGCGTCAGCGCCCGTCACTCACCAAAATGTGACAGTTGCGTGCGTAAACTCAAAAGCTTTAAAATGATGTATCACATGCCATTGAAACCTATATTGTTTTTGCTCGAGACGTTAAAAAAAAAATTCCTTTTTAGGCCCGAGCCCCGAACGGGGAAAGGGCCTATTGTTTTTGCTCGAGAGATGTCAAATTCTGCACTTTGAGCCTTAATTTCACCCCCTGAACATGCATGAAAAGTTGTAAAATTTTGACCAAACATCAGACCTGTTGAAAAATTTGATATTTTGGTGTTTATTTTTATGGGACTCAAAAAATGCCAGAACAGCGCCACCTACAACAGCCAAAATAATACCCCTATGGGACTTTTCGGAGGTCAAGTTTGTCGTAGAAACATGAAATTTGGTACACATGTTCCTCAAGTCAAGACAAGAAAAAAATATAATTATGGCCCCGCCCCCTGACAAACAGGAAGCCCATAAATTTCACTGCAAAATGGAAAAATGAACAGCAAAAGTTTTCATACATGTCGGTTGGAAAGCGACTCCTCCTCGGCCGTTTCACCGATTCGCCTCAAAATCGCTCCACATCATCTCAACACATGTACCTTCAAAATGACCTCAGGGATTTTTGATCAGTGAAACATTGTTCGAGCAGCGGAGCGGCAAAATGTGACCTTTTTTTGGCCGTTTTTGACAACATTAAATTTTCTCCCGTTTGCACAAACAAAGTCTGATTTGCACAAAACTTTAATACATTGTTCAACTCTAGGGTCTAGGTCATTTGAAAGTGAATTAATTCAAATTGACACATTATCACCCCCTACAGACTATTTCAAAGTTTTAGATGGGCATTTTCAAATTTAGTTTTTTCAAAATGTTTGAAATTTTGCACATACATCTGTTTTGCCCTCTTGATTCAAAAAGTCAATAGGGTCCAAGGCTTATCTTTTACCCTGTTGCCATGGCGACGACAAACGCTCCCCTTTCATTGCAAATGTACACCTCACACAAACATCAAACCAGCCTCGGCCGTTTCACCGATTCGCCTCAAAATCGCTCCACATCATCTCAACACATGTACCTTCAAAATGACTTCAGGGAATTTTGATCCGTGAAACGTTGTTTGAGCAGCGGAGCGGCAAAATGTGAGGGGTTTTTTTTGGCTCTTTTTGACAACATTAATTTTGCTCCTGTTTGCACAAACAAAGTCTGATTTGCACAAAACTTTAATCCATTGTGCAATTCCAGGGTTTAGGTCAGTTTAAAGTGAAATATTGGAAATTGGCCCATTAGCGCCCCCTACAGACTGTGTCAAAGTTTACATGGGGAGCCAAACCAGCTCTACTTATCATATTCATTACAATTTGACTAACATTCTTCTATGGCTACGGAAACAAATAATCACACGGCGGTGCCACCTCGTTTTAGCGGTGCTGCGTGGTACGGTGTGGTGCGGCGTAGTGCGGGGTCGTTGTGTAGCGGCGCGTTGCGGCTTGGTGCGGGGCGGCGTGGTGCGGGACGGCATGGTGCAGGGCGGCTTGGTGCGGGGCGGCTTGGTGCGGGGAGTGCGCGCGGTGCAGGGAGTCGCGCGGTGCGGCGAGGGCCGTTCGACGCCGCTTGCGGCTTTAATTATTATTGTTTTTCATGTATTTGAACGAGTCTCGAAGTCCAACATAACTCAAATACATTGATTTGAATTTATAGCTAAGCATCATCTCATTGTTCAAGAGATTTTGCGTTTCATTCGTGCATTCTCTCCAGGTATTTTCTCACTCTTTAGCACCATAAACACATTAGAGATCACTTGTAGGGTTTACTTTCACTTTCACTTTTAGGCTTTGGGTGATATGTAGTGAGCATTGCAATCAAACGTGGGTAAACAACACTTCAAATCGA